ATAGCGTAAAATCAGTAAAAAATGAAGGGAAATGTGTTCGTTTTAAAGTAAATATTTTGTTTCGTCTTTGCTGTATTTAAAGTTATGAGTTAGAGCATACAAACTGCAGAAAAGGAAGGAAGGGAGTTGATAAACTGGAATGAGTGGAAGGATTGATGATCAATAAATGATTTATTTTTATAAATCTCCTATTCTAGGGATTATTCTTGATATTGAAATTACGCCTTCCATCAAGCCAAATTTTTTTTTTTGATGAGAAATTTCATCAAATTTGTGATGACAAATCAATCACACACGCATTGGTTGAGCATGGAACTGAACTTTTTTACGAATCACAGCAGCAGTTTGTGCAATTCCTTGGTTTTCAGCATCTCGTCCAAGTACAATCAGCGGATTTTGAAGTTTCACTTCTTTCCCTTCAATAATGTGATAGCCAATATGAAGTAAAGCCTGGAAAAGAAAAATATTCAATTGCTTACTTTATTCTACTTAAGTTGTAAGTGTTTAAGTCATGAGTGTAAATGTCCCATTATAGCTTTTTTTTTTTTTTTTTTTTTTCAAAGATACAAATTCTGGTAGTGAGATAGTATAGATTTAATACAACTTTGAATGTAACTTATACTCTTGAACTCATTTATTTGGAAAAAAGGAACACTTTTTTGTTTTCCCATTTTAAGCTACCAATTCGTTGTCTTGCAAGTATACCAGTTGACTCTAAAGTCCCCTGTAATTCAATCATTGCCCATTCCGCGATGCCATCTCTGAAAAAAAAAAGTTCTATTCTTGTTCCATTCATCTTTTATCTGTTTATTCTATTATAATTACTTTAGTCAACGTAAAAAAAATTTGTACTATCACATTATTGGTGTAAAAAGATTTATTTTTGCTCATTATGCTTTAGCGGGAAATAAGTCATACAAAGTTCTGGATATTTGATCTAGTCAGTTTTTGATATCGTTCATTGTTTGCTGTCAGTATTGCAAACATGCTCCCTTGGAGAACGGTGAGCTGAGTTTTCCGCTCCCCTCTCCTCCTTCTCTCCCCTTTCTCCCCTCTTCTTCCCTCCCTCTCCTGTCTTCTTACTCCTGCTTCTCCCTCTTCTCCTCACCCTCCCTCCTGTCCTCTTACTCCTCCTACATCGCCTCTTCCTCTTTCCTTCTTCTCATCCCTCCCCTCTTCTCCTCTTTCTTGCCTCTCTGTCTCTTCTCTCTCCCTCCTCGTCTCTCACTCTTTCCTCTCCCTCTTTGCCTTCTCTCCCTTCTCTTTCTTCGCTACTCCCCTTTTGTCTTCTCTCTCCTGTCTCTCTAAAATCTCTCTATCTGTACCCTCTCCCTTTTCTACCGTCCCTGCCTCCTGTCCTCTTTCCTTCTTCTTTCTCTTCTTCCTCTCTCTTGTTCCCTCTGTCTCTTCACTTTTCTCTTCTCACTCCCTCCTCGTCTCTCACTCCTCTTCTTCCCTTCCTCCCTCCTGTCCTCTCTCCCTCCTCGTCTCACTCCCTCTTCTCCCCTCTCCCTCCTGTCCTTTTACTCCTCTACGTCGCCCTCTTATCCTTCCTCTTCCCCTCCCCTCCTTTCTCCGCTCTCTCCTGCCCTCTTACTCCCGCCTCTCCTCTCCTACAAGGGAGAAGAGGAAGAGGAGGAAGAGAGGACAGGAAGCATGGAGGATAGAAAAGAGAGAGGGGACAGATAGAGAGACAGGAGGGAGAGGACAAAAGGGGAATAGCGAAGAAAGAGAAGGGAGAGAAGGCAAAGAGGGAGAGGAAAGAGTTAGAGACGAGGAGGGAGAGAGAAGAGACAGAGAGGCAAGAAAGAGGAGAAGAGGGGAGGGATGAGAAGAAGGAAAGAGGAAGAGGCGATGTAGGAGGAGTAAGAGGACAGGAGGGAGGGTGAGGAGAAGAGGGAGAGGCGGGAGTAAGAAGAAGGAGAGGGAGGGAAGAAGAGGGGAGAAAGGGGAGAGAAGGAGGAGAGGGGAGCGGAAAACTCAGCTCACCGTTCTCCAAGGGAGCATGTTTGCAATACTGACAGCAAACAATGAACGATATCAAAAACTGACTAGATCAAATATCCAGAACTTTGTATGACTTATTTCCCGCTAAAGCATAATGAGCAAAAATAAATCTTTTTACACCAATAATGTGATAGTACAAATTTTTTTTACGTTGACTAAAGTAATTATAATAGAATAAACAGATAAAAGATGAATGGAACAAGAATAGAACTTTTTTTTTCAGAGATGGCATCGCGGAATGGGCAATGATTGAATTACAGGGGACTTTAGAGTCAGCTGGTATACTTGTAAGACAACGAATTGGTAGCTTAAAATGGGAAAACAAAAAAGTGTTCCTTTTTTCCAAATAAATGAGTTCAAGAGTATAAGTTACATTCAAAGTTGTATTAAATCTATACTATCTCACTACCAGAATTTGTATCTTTGAAAAAAAAAAAAAAAAAAAAAAGCTATAATGGGACATTTACACTCATGACTTAAACACTTACAACTTAAGTAGAATAAAGTAAGCAATTGAATATTTTTCTTTTCCAGGCTTTACTTCATATTGGCTATCACATTATTGAAGGGAAAGAAGTGAAACTTCAAAATCCGCTGATTGTACTTGGACGAGATGCTGAAAACCAAGGAATTGCACAAACTGCTGCTGTGATTCGTAAAAAAGTTCAGTTCCAATGCTTGACCAATGCGTGTGTGGTTGATTTGTCATGATTTTGTACCTAAATGTATATGTCTTTGCCTAGCAATTTCTTTACTTTATCTATAGCAATTTCAAGATATATTTCTCAAGAGATACAATTTCTCATAAATAATCGAACAGGTCCTATAAAGCGACAGTCATAACCTCAACTCGAAATTTTATGAGCTTTGGTCGCATCTCTCCAGCAGAGTATTTCAGTATGTCGGTTTACACATGTATTATATATATATATATATATATATATATATATATCATGGAGTCTGAGAGTTAGGTTATCAAATTTAGTTTGTACAGACCATAAAGACTGAAATGGGATTATAATTTAGAAAGGGTATTCTCTACTTGATGTTTTCTTGACTTTCTTCTATATTTGGTTTCTCTGCTGCACCAAACTTCCTCAGTATATAATAAAGTGAAATCACACATAAATTTTTGCCTACCTTTTATACAGACTGTAAAAAAATCATACATAAAATATACTTTTTGAGACATTCGATTAAAAAATGTCTTTCAAAATATTCTTGTCGATGATAACGAAAATTGTTTCAAACTTAGACGGCAAGCATATTGTTAATTAACACATTTTTTGGCCGACTGGATCTCAACCCGCATACTATCCCAAAAAATATATAAACTTTATGTAGGAGAATGAGAGAATCCTATTTACGGAAATACAACGCTTAAACCTGGAAAGCCAGAACGAAAGCAATAGATCAGGACTGCTTTGTTACAGTGATATCTTCGACATATCATTACTGTTTTTAGAACAAAATAAAATATGACATAGAAATTGCAAAACCTGACAAGATTTGTACAAAATTTATTTTAGTTCACCACTTGCTAACTTTTTATATCTAGCAGATAATACCAACGCATTATTCGCCTGCTTTACCTGTTAAAGATGTTTGTAATCGATTTAAAACATGGCGGTAGCTACCAGCAATGGTAGGATCCCTTACCATTAACACATTTTCGATATACCTGTAAAAGTTTGCAAAAAATCAAATAGTAACTATGGAATTGGCAAATCAGTACTGTGAAAAACATTCGAGCTCAAAATCTTTTTTTTTTTTGTTTCTGAAAAATTTGAAAAAAATAATGAATATAAATTGATGTTGACGACAACACTTTTCCACTGTTTGTTTAAAAAAAAAAAAATCAGAAATAGTGAAAAGTTATTTTTTGAAAATTGAATTCTTGAGAATTTAAAACTAAAATAAAAAAGGACAATGAAAATTTTCACAAAAATTATTATATAAAATTGTTGTCACGTTGTTAGAATAAACATTTTATAATTTGGTTGAAGATAATTTATAATTTTGTTTTAGTTTAAAAAAGAATTGAAAAGTAATTGAGAAAAAAATTATAAATTCATAATTATTTTATTTACTGTCACATTATTGCCTTTCTTCTCTTTTAATCAATACTTCACAAATTTGAATACACATATGTTTGTAATGAATTAATAGAATAGAGGAAGAAAAAACTGAAAAATATTTAGCTAAGAATTTAGAGTGTCGTTTTTATTTGCTTTAAAAATTTCGTCTTTCCTAATTTCATTTTTGTTTCAGTTTAAAATATGCAAATGACGTAATTATTTCGGATATATATATATATATATATATACGGTACAAAATGCTTTTCGTTTATTGTTACATAAAATTATTTCATACTTATACAGTACTTACTGGATGACCCTTCAAGAATTGTGTTAATTTGGTTAGAAGAAGCAGAAAATCATCAAGTAATTGATGAAATGCGTGGGAAAATCGATGAACGGACATGTGATCACTATAAAAAAGAAACAATTGTTAGAAGTATAATAAAATTAATTTTAGTATATATACATATAATAATGATAATTATATATGATAGTGATAGATAGTTAAATGGTCAAACGCTAATTGGTTCCTTCAAAAAAAAAAAAAAAAAAAATTGTAATTCTAATAATTTGAAAGGTAAACATTACTTAGCAAAGGGAAGATTTAAACGATCAAAACAAAAAACGTTTCATTATTATTAATATCAATATTGAATATAAATTATTTATATCACAAATTTGTTTTTTTGTTATTGATGGCATATTATTCTTCCTTCATTATTTAAATTTCCTTTTTCTAAATACTCTCTTGTATCCTCCCAAATTTTAATGAATAATGGGTTTTTTTCAGTAAAATATTCTATTTCAAATTAAAAATTTGCTATAAATATTTTTCGATTTGATAGAAATATTTCTGACAATCAATTAGTATAAAATGGATTCTATTTCGCTTTGATCAAGTTCGCAAATATTTTATATATCTGGGCACATCGGGATATCATCACGTCTTTCGGAAGCTGGACCCTGGATGGCAAATTCACTACTGTAAATGAGAATGGGTTATTTAATAATCGAAAATATTATAACCCAATTTTCACAATTCAACAGATAAGAAGTAATTTTTATCAATTAGATACCATTTTTCACTAAATATTTTTAAAAATTGGTTTCATTTTTTAAGATAAGAGTTAACTTATAAATTGACTTTTTCCACCATTAATAATATTGAAAAATTCTCATTACTTAAAACAATATGATTCCTATTGATTCGTTTATCACATTTTAAGAATTAACTTTGAAATGGATGAACTATGACGCTTGCTGCTTTTCCGCCAATGTCGTTGTCGTTTGCGATAATTTCGATGGGACCGTTTTGGTACTATCGACGTTTCATGACCCGTCGATTTTGTTGAATTCTCTTGCGCAGCTCAAAATTCAAATAGCTTAATTTTAAATTGGATCGATCAAGGATGAATGAAATCTATCGTATCGCTCATACATACATATATCATCTTTGTAGATGTTATAAACTTCAATAAGCAATGTTAACTCATTTAATTAATAAATAATTTTGAAGTAAAAGTATAAGATGCATTTAAAACTTCTATTATTATGTTTTTCTATGCTAATGTATAATTCAACTGATTTTGAAGAAGATTAAGCGTTCCTTAGTAAATTTTTTCCATCATATTGAACTGAAATAATTTACAGAAACCTAAAATCCAATTACATTACATAACATACTAATATTACTATGAGTATTATTAAGCTTGTAATAACAATCTCTAAATAATTCATATTTCATTCTGATTTGAGTAACTTGAAGAAGAATAGATACCAAAATGTAAACAAAAGGTCAAATGTTAAGGATATCACAACAATATGCTTGATATTCTGTTTCATATACGATAACTATCCTTAAAATGTTACTTTTCTTTACTTAAAATTATTGCGCAGTAAAAAATGGAAATAAAATTCAATAATTTTAATAAATAAATAATTTTCCTTTCTTGTTATTAGCATAAATGGTCAACTATACAGTGAAAAAGAAGGATTTGTCCTGTAAAAGCTGATAAGATATACATAATCATGAGGATGAATGATCTGTTAGCAATGGTTAAATGTCTCAGGAAGAAATGTCACACAATACTGTGTCACCAAATAATATAAATTTGCTTATTTAAAGTATAATAGGAAAGAATTACTGCTTGTCGTTTGCGATTGTATTGTACCATTCGGTAATTTAGCATTCGAGATTGACGAATCAGTTATGACATTACTAGTTTCCGTTTTCTCGGGCGGTCTGGAAAACGTATATTAGCTATTTTATTTTGTAATTCATCTAACTTGATTATGCAAGAGTTTGTTAGTTTCAATTTTTTTTTTCTTTCCTGATAAATTTTTCGAATGGAATATGAATTACATTGATGATACTGAAGTATGAGATGCTATATATGATAAAATTATGTCTTATAAGTAATGGTGATTGATTCATTCAATAATATACTACGTATTCCGTAAAATTTTTACGTAAAATTATAAAATGCTAAATTAAATTGAAGATAGCATCAAATGAAACGAACAGAATTTCATTAGGTATTGGCATATCACTAATGTCCTCGATAGATGGACAGTTTGGTATATCATCCCTACGATCTTTATGCTTCCTGAAGAAAAGTGAGATATTGATTATCTCATTCCCGATCGACTGATAAAACATTCTATGTCGTAAAGTACGGTGAAGAAATTAGGAAAAACAAAAGAATTTTATAACTTTACATTATCCATCGTTGTTTTAAAGTTCTAATTTCTTTTCGTTTAAAACGATCCGACGACATAATTATTGAATCTAAAATTGAATGATTCAAATATTTCGATAGTCAGATATTTACGACCGTTTAATTGTATACGTAACGTAGCATCAAATATTCCTTACGTGGACTCAATTACGAAATGAAAGAAATATCTCTGATTGCATCATTTAATCACGCTATTAAAGTTACACTATGCGCTATTCGAAACGCTTATATTCCAGGTCAAACAGGCTAAAGGCTAAAACGCAATGTTCTTTTTCCGCAATTGTAATGAAACTTCGAAAGAAAAGTTACACGTCTATGTTAATAACATATTCGTAGAGAGCTATTTTGTGTTTTAGCCTTTATCGAGTCAAAAATTCAATATTATAACGAAACAAACAAATAAATAGGATACTTCTGGAAAAAATGATGAAAAAAAGATGAAAACAGAACAACAATATTATTCTAATAATATCAAAATAAAGTACGTCAAAATTTTCCGTCTTACGTTCACATCCAATTTCCTGTTCCAGTGTTATCACCAGAGCTTAACGGATACCAAACCGTTAAGCTTCTAACAGTACTGACAAATAAATTTCAATTAAAAAATTTTTACCGTTTAAAATGAATTCTAAAATTCAACCATTTTTATAATCACACAAAGAATTGTATCAACGTTATTATCATTAATAGATTAGCTAAACTTACTCACTTGGTTTCTCACAGCATCACTGCATAAGGCAAAAAAAAAGTTTGCACTTCAAATTATCATATTTTCCAACTGCCAAAGTTTTAAATTGTTAAAATTGTATAAATCAACAGTGTTTTTTAATTAGGGAATTTTAATTCCACAATTATTTTCATACAATTTAACTTAGAGATGAAACAATGTTTTAACGTTGCACACGTATACCATACAAATTAGCCCAGAAAAGAAAATTATTTTTTGATAAAACGCTAACATATAAGTGAATAATAAAGATGTTTTCACGTTAGATTACATTAAATAAATAATTGCAAAGTTTTTGCTTATTTCAATGTTTTATAATATTATCAAATAGCATAAGTAATAAGCTAAATTTAATACTATTAAGTATCATTTTAAACAATAATTGTCAAATGATTTAGGTTAAAATATTTTATTATTACTATTAGTATTATTACAATTGTAACAGTGAAGAAATCTCTGAAAATTCCAAACCTCTTCTCTCCTCATTTTATGCAAATTTTTGTTTCTTCTCTTTTTTTTTGCACACATATAAATTACTTACAGAATGGTTCACTCTTTGTTAGCAATGGCATTATTTAAAAGCATGGGAATGGTATAGTGTTGCTTGATAGTTGCGCTTCTGTCTTTATCGTATAGTTTTAAGATAATCATATATATATATAGAGGACACGTAGAATACGTGGGAATATAACATGTGTTGCATGTGTTTCTTCTTTTAGCTTACTTCTTTACTTAGTCTATTATAACAATTTGTTAAGCATGTAATTATTTCGAAACGTAAACGGTTAGGAAATATATGGCGGATAAATGAAAGATTTGCGCTGCGCTTATCTTTTATTTCCTTAGAAATTTTATTATTATGCAAATTTTGTAAATATAATTAATAATTACGTAAGTTTCTAATTTGAAATTTAGACTTTTGTGTTATTCGTTTATTTCGTATTCAGTTCTCAAATGATATTATATTGATGGAGAAAGAAATAGGAAACTATAAGGGGTAAATGGGAAGATTGGAAACAGTTGGAATTTTTGAAATAGTGATATAATGGACTTAAAGTTCCTCGATTGTATGGTATTATAGTTGTATGGCATGTTTGAATTATGATATTTAAATATATTTGAAAATTTAAATGAATATTATAATAATTTAAACTTTTTAATTGACATCAAAAGCTTGGGGAAAATATAATTAGATACCAGTGCAAATGCATTATTTGTCATTCTATAGATTAATTTGAAGTAATAGAGGGAGTAAAGTAAGTTAATCGTGAAATAATTTTCTTGAATTATAATACAGTGATAATCAATCAATAGTTCAAAATCTATCCTTGATCTATTCCTTACGGGATAAACAGATATTTGGCTTAATAATTACAGAATATTATCATTATAGATATATTACTGTCAGGAACAAAAGAAAAGAAAGTAAATATTTCAAATTAATTTATCAGTCTATTTTTACAAAATGTTCATTGGAAAAAAATTTCCAGTTTTTTACGATGGGAATGGATGATGATTTGGAGATTTCAATGACGATGATTAAAAATCAAAATCAAACATTTGCTTCTGGAATTCGCGGTAACTCTTAAAGCAATTTTATAGGTTTTATATTAATTGGAAATTTTAGATTCTCTCTATCACTAGTAACATCTTATTAAATTATTTCTCAGTGTAAGTCATAGCTTTTACTGAAATAGAAACTAATTTGCTAATTGCATTAGTACTGTAACTATGTATAATTCGTTTACAAAAATAAATAGGCAAAATATTCATCTTAACTTCATATATCAAATTTTTGTTTTGTTTTTGACAATTTACAAATTACTTTAAGATGCGTAGTTCATATTTGATATTTTGACTTTTATAGCCTTCTTTCTTATCAAAAATTTTTACCATAGAAAAATTTTATAAAAATTTTTTTTGTTCATTTTAGATTAATTCTTCTAAAATGTTATTTTGCTTTCTTTTTCATTACAGAAAATACTGCAATAGAAGGAGATGGAAAGAAGAATACAACGAATATTATCACTTCGTTTACTTCTACAACTATTCCTAATAGTAGTGATAGCAGTAGAAGTTGTAATTTAAGTCAAACTGGTAACAGTAATATTGGTGATAATAGTAGCAATAATAGTGGCAAATCTTCATATAGTTTCGATTCAGGGCGGAAGACGAGAGAATTATTAATTGAAGATTATCTGAGAACTCTTCAAGGTCACTTCTTTTTGTTTTGATTTTCATATTTTAATTATTTTTATATCATTAACATACCTGTCCTTTATGTATGTATAACAAATGATTGTAAAACATTGACAGATACGAGATAAAGAAATTCTCTTTTTTTCTGATTAATAACTAAATTTATTTATCCATTTCATTGCATATTTCAATTCTAGCAACTGATTCGATAATGGAACCAAATATAGATATAACAATTAAAGGATTTTTAAGAAATGGTGGTCATCCAGAAGTTGTAATCACTTCTCTCACCAATAGTTATCGTGGTCTTGCCCAGGTATCTGTTTCAATTTTTTTTATTATATTAAGTATTAAAAATATTAATTAGTAAAATTGTAAACTTCAAAAAGCAAATACTAAAAGACTTCAGTATTACGTGAGCTGCAATTTCCAATACTGATAATTAAAATGATAACTTTCTCTTCGGTATCACTTCATGAATTATTATTATCAGTCTTTGACAGATACATGAAATTGATATGTTAAACTTCCTAAATTTCATTTCCTACTGCTTTCCATGTGTTAGAGAAGAAAAAACATTTTTTTTTTTTTTATCATATGGAGCTAATTAATCGTGCTGATAAGTTATAGTACTGTGAATTGCTTGGTGATTGGTTATCTGATTTGGAAGGTGACCGGAGAATTGTTCATGAATGTTTCGAAAAAAGTTTAAGCTCATTGCTTGAAAAACGTTTCGTGGCTGAGGTTGTCGATAGAAATTTTGATGCAGCAGGCGATGTTGATAAATGGTTACCAGAATTACTGAAACATAGGTTTACTAATTGAACTATCAAAAATCAAATTTGAACTATTTATCAAAAATTCTAAATATGTGTTAGCTTGAAGATGACCATGAATTCAATGTGAATTGGTCAAGTAGGTATTTCGAATTCATTTTAAATAGATTATTAAACTTTAAAAGAGAAAAGGTAATCTTGTTGCAGTAAATGGCGTAATTTAATTTACACACTGATCGAACAAAATCCTCGATCGAGATTTTTAACCAAAGCAATTCGAATAATATCAGATGCCGGTTTTCAACATGAAATTACAAATGTTCATTTAGCTGCGCAACAGGTATAGGCGTATTTTTATTTGCTAAATTGACTTATTGCTTACTCATTTTATTTAATTATTTCAATTATTGCTTCTTATTTTGTCTTTATCTATGCATTGTGAAAATTTTCGAAAAAATCTATTCAATTTTTAGTTCCATTCAATATCTTAAATGATATTAGATCACTAACAAATTTGACGGTATTTAAATTAACTAACAAATAATATAGTTAATTTGTCAGTTTAATTAATTATGATAAGTTAACCATTATAGTTTGAAATTTGTTGTCGTATGGTTATTACTGCAATTGATGACTTTTTTGCGGAGCATAAAAAAGGCCCAATGACGGATGTTTATGAAAAGGCTTTTGCGAAATTAACTCAGATAGTTTGTTATAGCGAGCATACTTATTTGCTCACGCAAGTTCTTTTGTATGAAACTATCAAAGAGGTAAGTGTGAAGTGATTAAGCTATGGATTATATATCTTTAATTTGTAGAATTATAATAAAAAGTGTAGCATTATATATGTTGACGTAGTTGCGTGATATTATACTATTGCATAAAATTCATGTGACACAAATAGGGCTTCATTTTCATTCTTCTAAAATTAGAAAAACTAAAAATTCTGCTAAAATTTAATTCTAAGAAAATTTCATTCTAAAATAACTTTTCATCATTTTTTATTCAATTAAGTGATAAATTTTTAGGAAAATAATGAAGTAGCAGCAGCTTGCACATATTTGTCACAAATATTACGTCGTGAAGCACATAAACGTAACTATCAAGATTCATATGATATTCATATTGCATTAAATAGAGGATATAATGATTGTGGTAATAGTGTGAAGCAAATCATATATGCAATGCTTAGCAAGAAATGTCTAAATCAAGCTGATATTATTCGTCTCTATGAAGTCAATTAGTTTTTTTTAGCTTTTTTGAGACTATTTATTTTCTCCCATTATTTATTTCCCTATTTAATTTTTGTTCATAAAGTAAGTATTGATAATCTGAAATCAATAAATGGTTGTGATTGTTTATTTAATAATCAGTAAATGAAGAATTAATAACAGTAATACATTTCTAGCTATACCTTTGATTTATCTTTAATTTTTTTTCAAACTCTTATTTCTTTCTGTTATTCTTTTTCAGCATTACAATTCATCTGAGCCACCAGTTGTTGAATTTATTCAAGATCCATTTTTTATCGATATGCTTATCGATGCATTATTTGCATATGAAGGATGTAAGGTAATTGCTTTTACTTGTATCTGTTTCAGTACTATTTTTATTTATTGGCAAAGCTCAAATATTATTTGAAGTAAGTAATTTTTACTGCTATGTTCTATATTCTATTTTATTTAGCCTAATCTTAGTTAAGTCTTCTCTTAGTTAAATGATTAAAATTATTCATTTTCCGTAGTGCTTAATTGACGTATCTATAATTATACGTTTGAACCAGGAAATCAATAAAACGAAATTCGAAAGTGGAATATTTCAGGATTCGAAGCAAATTACGGCTCGATGGGAGTAATTCATAATATGTTACTATTTAATTCGTAACATCTGAAAATATAATTTTTATTCTTTTCAATATTATTTTTCAGGTCCAATTAAGTCATCGATCGAAATACATCTTTTTATTATCTTATGCTTCTTGTTGTAGTACTTCAAATGATACGAATATGGAAAAAGAAGACGTAAGATTCTCTCTTTTATAAATAAATTCATTTCTGCTACTTCTAATTTCATTAATTACTTTTAATTAAATAATTTGCTATTTCATTTTGCAAAAGTATTTATCATAAACAAAAAAAAGCGCTTTTTTTTTTGTTTTCGTCTTAGTTCTAAGTAGCATTAGAATATGTTACAATTGTAATCATGATTCCAATAAGTTAAGGAAGAGATGGAGCGAACAGAGTACATTATGGAAAAGATTTTGGATAGTATAAGATCAGAACGCGAGTTTTTAAAAGATATCCGTTTGCTACTCAGTGGTATATAATTTTTAATGCAGAAAATTTATTTTTTTAATAAAAATAAAAAAAAAGCTTTAAGAGCTCTAGAATATTCCAATCAATAATATGTTGTAAATTACCTCATCTTTTTTAATTTACAAAGTTTTTTTCTTTTTTTTTATTAGAACATAAAATCACTGAGATTTTGTGAAAAATAATGATGTGCGATCTTTTAAAGATGAATAATGATCAAAATCATCCATTGGTTAATATTAACTGTAGATAAATTCAAATCTACTTTCTAATACAGAAGTGCAATTTTTAAAACACAAATTTATTATTTATTCAAAAGCATAAAAGTTCAGTTCCAATAGATGAAAAAAATTTAAAAACAACGTTGTTATCTTGTTTTATCTTTTTTTTTTTCTACCAGGTATTGAATTTACACCAATTGCCGGTGGACTATTGCATTATTTACAAGGGTTTTTGTTAAATAATGAAATACTTACTGAATTTGAAATGGTTCATTTCGTTTTATTGGACGAAATTGCTACCAAACATTCCGGCTTACATATCAGGTTTGTTAACGAATCTTGTAATATAGTAATTTCCTTAATTCTTCTATTTTTGCTATATATATATATATTATATAGAAATATGAGACAGGAAAAAATTTAAACAAAATTCTAAAAACTATATTGGTTAACAATGATAATGATAGAGTAAAGGAAAAGCAATAGTCAATCAGAATAAAAAAAAAAAAAAAGGAAAAAACTCAAAATTGTTCATATTGACTACTACTAACACGAATCATATTGTAATTAAAGCAGATATAGTTTTATCCATAATTATTACATCTCTTAATTTTATTAAGCTAAAATGTTCTTGAGCATCATAAAATTTATGATATTTCATCCCCTTCGATTGTATCTACAATAAATTCATTGATAAATCAGAGAGCTATTGGTTGATTTGATATTTATTTGAATTATTTCAAGTCTAATTAAAGGTTATTCAAAATGCTTTGTGAGTTGTATGATCGTCAGTCAAAGTCGCAACAACCAGCAGAAATGATTATCGCTAAACAACGAAGTATTATTGATCGTTTTGTTCATCTACTTTCTGTTGGATTTGCATTACCAGTTGTTGAAAAAATCAATAAGATGTTTCAGGAAGGACAAATTGATGTTTCTCTTGCACGGTAAATTATCAAATTTTTGATACTTGTAAAGAAACCAACTTAGCACTGTTTTTATCAAACTACTTTAAGCATGAAAACTTTTCAAACATCAAAAAAAATGAGAATGAATCTCCTGAAGAAAAAAGAGACCTAGTCTTTGTTTATATCATTTAAATTAATTGGACGAGATTATGATTTGAAAGAGCATATTTAACTACCAATGAAATTATAATTTCGCTCATGTTGTAATCGGTTTAATTAGAATATCGTTAAATATAAAGTGTTCCATGTTTTACAGGTATTTTGCCATAGATGTTCTGGATATCATTGAACCACCATATTCGGAAGAGTTCATCGAAACATTTCTACCAATGGTGCTAAACCGAGAAATCTTTGATAAGTTAACAATGATTAAGGTACCAGCAGCAACGCAATTCATTCAAGATATCACAACTGAAACTGTGGGAAGTAATGATGAAGTTGAATTCAACACAAATGAAGTTTTGTCTGAATTGAATATATTGGATACGTGTAACACAACTACTGAATGATATTACAGAATTACTATTATATGTTACGTCCTGTAGACAGGTGAATTTTGTTATCGTTACCTCTGAAGAGAAGTTGCTATACCAGTATATTTGGAAGTATAAGTTAAGACTAGTAATGCATATTTCCAAATAACATTTTTTGATTTTAACAAATAACATTTTTTGATTTCTTCATTTAGAGATCAAAGACGATTACAGACATATTGATGTTACTATATTAAGCTGTTAGCATATATGTATTTCATAAATAAGACTTTTGGTATAGAGCTAAGAGAACGGTTTACGCTTACGGATGAATATTTATCATTAGCGATGTCAATTGTGCACATATGACCCTCAGATTCTTAATTGTTCAGCTGCACTTTATGGATCAGCAAATGTAGATCAAATTAGAATAGAAATGGCTAGATATTATACTATAACTAGGAAATTGACTTAAGCTAACTGCTCTAATAAATGTTGCTATACCAATCACATTAAAGTGTTTGCGGTCAATAAAGTTATTTCATAACTGTTGACTTCTTTATTTTTTTCCAAGCCGATTAGTCCTAAGAACGAAATCAAACATTTAACACAGATAATACAATTTATATACAATAGGCAGCTTTTCAGAGGATCACCAGAGCAATTTCCATGAACTTACAATATATTATTCTAAAATTTCTTTGGATATTTATTTTGTCATCTTTTCCAGAATGATTTCTTCCCAAATCCCACATAAAAAAGTATTTGAGCAGATTATGCCATCGCTATTGTCCATCCAAATGCTATAACAGAACACTAATAATTTCGAGCGCCTACAAACCTATCGGATGTCTCCTTCCATTCAGATGAGAATTTTTTACAGTGTAAAAGAAGCAACCAGTTTCTCCTTAGGAGGACTCATTTTACTATTAAGGGTTGCAGCCTCGAACTTACATTTTGAATATCAAAATTACGACACAAACTGTACTCGATCCACAATTTTGGAATTCTGCGAGCTTTAGATTCCATAATTCAACGATCAAATGTTAGTACTGTTGTGTAGGATGATATTGCTGTTGTTGTTGCTGTTGAGGCTGTTGTCCATATTGCAACTGCTGTTGATTGAATCTAAAGCCATATCAAGAATTACTTGTTCAAATCACCAAAGCTAAATCATACAAGAATTTCTCAAATGGGATATGTGAATTCATCTAAAATTTTATTTCATGTATGTAAGAAAGAAATGACTTTTAATTTATATCCTAGTTAAATCTAAACAAATATAGAATTAGCATCTCTAGATAAAAAAAAAGAAAGCTGGAAAAAACTTGAAAGCTAAACAATAAAGCAGTGACCGAGAGTCATAAGTCGCCTGCTGTACCGACTATCCGTAAGCTATACCACCCCGTTGTTGTTGATGTAAAACATATTGGGAACCTCCTTGGACATCTGTAAATATAAAATTTCACATAAAAAACACAATAGAATGAAATTTTCAGGAGAAACTTCCATACGCTTTTTTTTTACAGAAACTTTTACAGAAATGATAAACTGAGAGACAAGAATTATTCGCTTGTGTTGAAAATGAAAATATCAGTTTTACCCTGCTGCATTTGGATTAGTTGTTGCTGTTGGGCATATTGATGCTGTTGTTGTTGTTGCTGCTGCTGCTGCTGCTGCGTATGATCAACCATTTGCATAGAGTTAGCACCCGTTTCAACTTTCATTATCATATTACCACCATATTGTGGCGGTCCTGCGGAGATTTGGTAGGCCAAAGCATGAAAGATCAGTAACAATAATTAATGATGATATACGATAAACTGTTGTTGAACGTTTGGTAGGATTGATTAAATTTTCGACTTGTATTACACTGTTAACTGTTTCGCTAATACTGGAGCTAATATTTTTTCAACTTTATCCAGTCATTTTTACAGCCTAGCAAGCAGTGGAAAATTAACCATTAACATCCTGCATAGATGGCTGAGGTCCACCTGTTACACTTGTTGTGTTGCAGTAGCACCACTAGCAGCTTGCGCTTGTCGCTTTTGCAAGATCATTGAGTGAATCTTCATTTTTGAATCTTCTGTTGTTTGAGTACCCATTGCGGTGCTTGAAATTTCCTTATTTAAGTCTAAATGCCTTCTTTTTTAAATATTATTTTATATGCATTTTCATTCCGTGTAGTAGAGGGATGAGACAAACCTTTTACTGCACAAATTTTTTTTGTTAGCAATCACCAGCTACCATAGGTTATAAACATTTTGTGAAGGTAAAACAAGTTCATCCATGATCTCTGGCATGACATTTACATGAAGCTTGACTTTAAATATCAAACCCGAAGACCTCTAATTTCCTCGAATTTCACACTGCATTATGAATTTTAGTTTCAAATCGTGGTATGAATGCCTTATGTGAAGAAATATTAATTCGTCACCTGCTTGCGTACCAGATGGAGGCGCTGAAGGCCCAGATGCGAACTGCTGCGGTACACCTGTTTGCTGTGGGCCAGTAGCCCAGGTGCTCGGGTATGTAGGCTGCTGAGGTGGACCTCCACACAGCCAACGGCACTACCCATTTGTTGCTGTTGTTGTTGCGCAGCTGCAGCTGCTACAGCTAGCTGATCAACAGTTTGCTGCCGTTGTTTACAAGTAGTACCTTGAGAACGTGTAAAAAGACCTGCTGCTTTGCGACGCCCTCCTACAAAGAAAAGAAATAAAACGAAATAGCGACGAGTTATTTCATTTTTTTTGATTTTAATTTTCAAGCAATATAAATTTCGAATTTGTAGGATAATAAAACTGATATAATCGGTAACCTCTTGCACCTCTTGGCGACGCATTGTTTTGACCTCGTCCTGTTAGATCTGGTAATGCTAGCATCGGACCAGATTGCCCTGGAAAGATCATCGCCGTAGCAGCGGTACTTGGTGCTACCAGGAGTACTAGATGGAATAGATCCATCGGGAATAGATGTGCAAGTAGGAGTTGAACTTGACTGGTAACTCATTGCACGGCCTTGCACTACAGGACCCAACGTTGTACCTACATCCATGGCTACACCACCTGAGGACACCGGCACATTCTGGAATGAAAGGAGCCTTACACTGAATGAACTTTTACTGCTTTATCAACATTAAATCACTCACTGAATATTCTAATCACAGAAAGAAGATATGTCAAACACAATCAAAGAAGCTTTACTGAACTATGCAAAATATCTAAATCAACCCAAGATTTTCCACTGCTACCAGTATGTAATTCTAAAGACATACCGTAGAACTAGCAGATGTAGTTGTTGAGGTAGCTGCACTGGAAGAAACATGATGCAGAGTTGCTGGTGTCTCTGATACATCCATCATGGTGGTGAAAGATAGATATCCAGATTAGGCGGTCTGTAATAAATTAACATCATTTGATTATAAGATATCACTCTAGATCATTCATATAAGCTAAGTTATAAAGTTAATCTTATTCAACCATGTAGATTGTTCCTATTATTCAGCAAGAAAGAAATTAGAATTAATGATCAATAGGAGAACAGGTAGATTTATGCTAAGAATTGACGAACAGCTTGAACTATTTCCATATCTATAATCTATTTATAAGACTCTTTTGTAGGAAAAATTTAATTCACCGATCCATCTCTCACTCTCTCTTCTTCCCTTCCTCCCTTCTGTTGTCTCTCCCTCCTCTTTCTCCTCTCCTTTCTCTCCTACGCCGCCCTCTTATCCTTCCTCTTTCTCTTTCCTTCCTCTCTTTTCCTCCCTTCTTCTTCTCCTCTCCCTCCCTCCTGTCCTCTCTCGCTCCCGCCTCTTCTTCCTTTTTTGAAGAGGGTTAAACAAATCCCATTTGTTGACCATACTAGCAACTTTTCCCATCCAAAAGGAAAAGATTAGGTGGTGAAAAATGCGATGAATGTAGGTGATCTGGGTAAAATGTTCTGTTGATTCATGAGAAATATTTTGAATTATTTTGTGGCTAACATCTCACAAATTGATTTTGCTTAGATGAAGATATCGTGTCTTGTGATGAGAGACTGTTTCTGAAGCTAGAATCTTTGATCAATGAAAACAGGACATCAACAGTAGAAGCAATGCAAACCTCTCTCGATCTTAAAATGAATAGTGTTATTCAGAACGTTCGATCAAAAACTGCCGATAATTTTAAGGTTGGATTTTATAGTTCTGTTAAATTTGTAAAACATCTGGGCTTTTGATAAAAAATCATTGTTCAGGAGGGAAATTTAAAATAACCTTTTCAAATGCTATAGTGATACGTTGATTTTCAATATCAATTTATATTCTTTATTTTTTTTAAATTTTTCAGAAACAAAAAAAAAAAAGATTTTGGAGCTCGAATGTTTTTCACAGTACTGATTTGCCAATTCCATAGTTACTATTTGATTTTTTGCAAACTTTTACAGGTATATCGAAAATGTGTTAATGGTAAGGGATCCTACCATTGCTGGTAGCTACCGCCATGTTTTAAATCGATTACAAACATCTTTAACAGGTAAAGCAGGCGAATAATGCGTTGGTATTATCTGCTAGATATAAAAAGTTAGCAAGTGGTGAACTAAAATAAATTTTGTACAAATCTTGTCAGGTTTTGCAATTTCTATGTCATATTTTATTTTGTTCTAAAAACAGTAATGATATGTCGAAGATATCACTGTAACAAAGCAGTCCTGATCTATTGCTTTCGTTCTGGCTTTCCAGGTTTAAGCGTTGTATTTCCGTAAATAGGATTCTCTCATTCTCCTACATAAAGTTTATATATTTTTTGGGATAGTATGCGGGTTGAGATCCAGTCGGCCAAAAAATGTGTTAATTAACAATATGCTTGCCGTCTAAGTTTGAAACAATTTTCGTTATCATCGACAAGAATATTTTGAAAGACATTTTTTAATCGAATGTCTCAAAAAGTATATTTTATGTATGATTTTTTTACAGTCTGTATAAAAGGTAGGCAAAAATTTATGTGTGATTTCACTTTATTATATACTGAGGAAGTTTGGTGCAGCAGAGAAACCAAATATAGAAGAAAGTCAAGAAAACATCAAATAGAGAATCCCTTTCTAAATTATAATCCCATTTCAGTCTTTATGGTCTGTACAAACTAAATTTGATAACCTAACTCTCAGACTCCATGATATATATATATATATATATATATATATATATATAATACATGTGTAAACCGACATACTGAAATACTCTGCTGGAGAGATGCGACCAAAGCTCATAAAATTTCGAGTTGAGGTTATGACTGTCGCTTTATAGGACCTGTTCGATTATTTATGAGAAATTGTATCTCTTGAGAAATATATCTTGAAATTGCTATAGATAAAGTAAAGAAATTGCTAGGCAAAGACATATACATTTAAGTACAAAATTGATAACATTTCAAATTTTCAAAAAATGCATTTTTATGTTATGAAATTAATGGTTGAGGAATTTGCAGGGACATGGTAAATAGGTGATTAATGTGTGAAGTTTAACTGAAGCAATGCTTGGTTTTTATTGCTGATATTTACCCTTGATAAGTGATAATTAATGTAATTCTAAGTGTAAGTATTTGACTAATTTTTTTAATGCGATTACAAGAATGATGGCGGTAAATGTTTTTGAAAGAAATTTTTTCTCATTGATATTTTTATCATTGATATTTGCGTTAGGTAAGTGATAAATAATGATTTGTAAATTGATTAATCTTGAATAAATAAATTCTTTTCGTACAATGTCAAAACTTATTATTATTATTGTTATTTTAGTTATTCCAGAAAAGATATGAATCTTCTATTCATTACATTAATAATGATTTCATTTACTTCAAAAAAACTAAGAAGGAAATAGCAGATTTCGTCAAAAATAAAATATCTCCGCTTTTTTCTTTTATGACTTTTATTTCGTTTCAAAGTATAATCTAAACTTTGTGTTATGGATAATGAAAGTTTGATCATTTACATACGACTTTTAACCCTTTCAATTTCTTATCTAACTCGAATTAAAGTAATGTTTTAATATCTAAGCTTGAAAACTTAGGCGATTTCTGGAAATTTTTCAAAAAAAACCATTGATAAAGCAATGTAAAATTGTTGATTTTACTGATTAATATTGTCGTTTTATCATGTCAAATCTTCCTTCAGCAATATCACAAAGTGAGAATCTTTTATTTTTGATAAAATAAGAAGAATAAAGCAAAAAATAACAATAAAAAAAACGTTCATTTTCCACATTTAAGCGTAATTACGAAAAACCCGGCATATCATGCATAATATCACAAATGTGAAATGTTTTCTTTTGTTCGAATTTTGTCGTTTCAGTGAGTTTTTTCGAATTCTCAAATGCTACTGTTTTAGGTTTATGAAATTTTGCTTCGTTGATTAAATTAATAGCAGCCGAATGATTGGAAATAATTTGACATTTTTTATTATCACCGAGTTCCTCCACTTCTTCATGTTTTAATTTTGTCTGGATTAATTTCTCTTTAGAAGAAATTATTTTGGGCAGATTGACAATTTGAGAATGTGGAACTTTCCTGATAATAGTATTTTTTAAGGAACATAAGCGTTCGTGGCGCAATTTACCCGAATAGTTATAAAGCACTCGATTACAGTGAAAGCATTTGAATCGTTTAATGGTTGAATGATAATAGCTGAAATGGCAATCTAGATCGTACGCTGAACTGAATCGACTAGTACACATCATACATTCATGTGGTTTTTCGTGAATTTTTGCATGTCCTGAAATTTAAATTGATTATTTGACATAAAATTTCAAAAGAAAAGTCCAAATCTCTTGTACTCGAAATTAAGCTAAGGAATGATTCAACTTTGCAAGCACTTTGCTTAATTAATATTCAATACAATATATTTGATCAATAGTTCAAAGCTTACTACTTAAAGCACTTTGTCCCGATAAATGCTTATTGCAAATCGTACATCGAAATAATTTCCCTTTATGCTTGGCTAAATGTTCCTTAAAATTATAAAAAGTTTCATATGTTCGATCACACTGATTACATTCGAATAATTTTCGTTCACCATTATTTTCCTTCACAGTATTGCTTATGTGCGCTAAAATTTAAAACATTTGCAATGACAATTATAAGGATTTCCAAACTCTTTTCTTCTTCCTCAAAAGAAAAAAAAAAAAAAATTGTATCACAGAAAATTCAAATTGTTACTAACCGGAATGTTTTTTAAGTTCATGTGCTCGCATACGTTTCTCTGATACAAATGTTCTTGCGCATTTTTCGCATTCATATTTGCGCTCATGATGAGCCATCATGTGATCCTAAATTCTTCAATCTTTATGTAATATTTCATATTAATCAAAAAAAAAAGAAAAAAAATATATTTTACCATTAAAAATTAGAAGAAAAAAATCAGTTCAATGTTTATTATTATTCACGAATGCCACTCATTCGAGATATTTCATTTAAGTTAGCTATTTTCAAGTTTGATAAAAACATAAATAAAAATTATGCAGAATTATGTTATCAGAAATGTCACTAATCATAAAGTTAATAGTAATAGTAATAGTAGTAGTAGTACTAGGAAAAAACATTTATTACTTGAAAAAATTTAGAAATACTTTCTTTAATATTACCAATTTTTATAAATTATTGTCTTTAATCTCAACGATACATTTTAAAATTCTTATGTAAAATAATTCTATGATTACTGTCGCTTTCATTCATTTTATTTTCATAAAATTTCATCATTTTTTTATAATTCCAGACAAAAAAAATCAATTCACTGCTCATTCTTTTACATATTCACATATATATTATTAACAATTTAAACTTTTTGATGATCTCAAAACACTCCATAAGACTATATTACTTTTTCTGAAAGAAGAAAATTTCATGCTCTTCAAGAACTTACAAAACTTTCAAAATATTTTAAAAAGTCACAAAAATTTTCTGAACTGAAATCAAATAAATGGATAAAAACCTAAAATTGGGCAAAAAAAAGAACGATAAACTGAAACCTGAAAATCTTTAAATGATCCATATATTCGACCACAAATTGGGCATAATCCTCTTGAAAATGTAATATCATTTGTAATCAAATTTATCGGATATTGATTAGGAAAGGGTAGTGAAAATAAAGGTAGAAGTGGTTGAATGCGATTGTCAGTAGTCGAAAATAATAGTTCGCTGATCGGTCTAGTAAATTTCGAAATGTCAAAGGTTGATTGTATGGAAGCTGATGGGTTCGCTGAAAAAATAAAATATTAATAACTGATTTCTTCCATTATTTTACATGAAAACATTATTTCAAAAAAAAAAAAAACTGTTTATTGATTCATTTGATAATTTATTGGTTCTAACATTCAATTATCTAAATTATTCACTCATTCATCTCATATGCAGAAATTAAGTAATTCTTGCATATGCATCCATTGGCACTAATTATTTGCAAACAATTAGATGAATGATTCGTCTATTCTAATACTAAATTATTTTATTGAATAATCATCAATAAACATTTGATTTCTTTAGTGATCAGCTTTATTATAATGCTGTACTGCTAAATTGGTATGAAAAAATAAAAAAAATAAAGTCCTTATCTATCTAGCTGATTTCAATTTATTTTAATATTTATATAATTAATTGCAATTCCATTGAACTATCATATTTCTGTATCAAAATTTTGGGATATTATGATTATGTAGGATTATGAAAGTATCAAACAATTTGGTGAGAGCCTTGAAAAAAAAAATAAATAGGAAATAGAAATTTAACATACCCATATAAATTTGTTATTTTTTTAGCAAATTTGAATGATTGATATAGACGATACTGAACCAATGAATGAGCAAATAACTAATATGTAAATTTGGGTTTTGACAAAAGTTTAAAGGGTGGAGTAAAATTGACCGCCATAATGTCAAACGATAAGTGGGAAATGAATGAAATTTGATGCTTATCGTTATATTAGTCTTTAAATAATTTCAATATTGCATTTAAATTGCAGATAACAATCTTTGCAAACTTTCTGATAAATTTTTTCAACTGTCAAAGAGTATGGATCGAGTGTGAACACTGTTCCATTCACTCATCAAGGTCATTCATGAATTTTCAATTGCAATAAGATTTCGTCGTATAGCTATCCTAATTCCTTCACGTATTATTGATAAGATCAGAAAAAAAAGAAGAAAAGAAAAGAAAAGAAATTTGAGAGATGGATGAATTTTTATGAAAACAAGAAAAGAAAAGAAAGAAAGAAAGAGCGAAAGAAGAAGGACAGTTAAGATTGGGAGGTGTTATTTGATGAGCTATCTTTAAAATTTAAATTATCGTTCCGTTTAATTTCTCTCCAAAATCATCCATTACTTTTCTTATCATTTATATGTCTGTCGATTCATATATCAATCATTAAGAAAATTAATTTATTCTATTTTATATGGAACAGAGAAAAAGTTATATGGGGAATTTGAAATGAGGATGGAGAAAGAAAGTAAGCAACGGATAATTTACATTTGCAATTAATTTCTAAATTTTAAATAAACATTTTACATTAGATAAAGTTTAGCTAATTGTATTACTATTAATTAAATTAAAATCATCGACAATTTAAGCAACTGATTGCGTATCATTTGTGATAATTTTGATAATTATTGATAACATATAAACGTGATAAGCTGATGACCTAAATCTGCATTGAATGAATCAAATTAACAGATATTAAGTAAATAGAGTATACGCTTCAAAGTCCATACTTCATCATTCCTTTCACGACAACTACTTATCAAAATACTTCAGCGGAAATCTGCAATTATTCATTTCAAATCAGTCACATGGGAATAAAATTTTCATACAGCGTAAATCAGAGTAGTACAAAGAACTGCTTGCTGCTATTTGACTTTGACTGTGGTCTAGACTTAATGTGAGTTATGTATTTGTGGAAAAGTCAAAAGTTTAAGCTGTTAGCATGCCTTCGTAAGTTTGCATATCCAAGTCTAGGTTTACTTTCTTTCTTTGCAGTACAATTAACAAACTATTTATATTCAAAGAGTTATGGTACGACTAGATAATTATTTCTCCTCAGAATTCTTTCTGATTAAGAACATTATTACTAACATGTAAGATTTTACTGGAATACAAGTACTGTAGAAAATTCAATATAGGGGGTTTCATTTTGTTTAATTTGGCGGCTATTCATGTTTCTAACTTCTATTCATTGGTTTTAATCTTAAAAAAATGGAAAAAAAGAAACGTTATGGATTACTACATTATCATTTCCTGTAGATAATCATGCGTAGAAACTTGTGATATTCCTTCCATATGGACTGAAATTATTATTTTTAACATTATCATTTCTTATAGATAATCATGCGTGGGAATTTATGATGTCTCTTCCATATGAGATATACATGTGGTTTTCTTTCCCTGAAATATTTGAGAGCATTACATTGAGAAATTCAATAAATCATTATATAGATAGTAACGAATTGCTTGCTGTTGTGAGAGACAAGGAAGCACCGATGGTAAATGACTCATTAAAATATGAATCTGAACAGATGATAAAGGATAAGAAGGATGAAGATGGTGATTTGGTGACACCGTGGGATGTTACAGCATCAAGCAAGAAAGGCATTGATTATGATAAATTGATCGGTTAGTACTACTTTTCAACAAGATTTGCCTCAATAAGTCTGAACTGTTCTGAAATTTAGAGCAAGATCATTTCATCCAATTTAATCAGAAATGATAGAAGTTTCCACTGTATTAGTTCAGAATCATTTGATCTATGCATATCTTTTGAATAACATCCATTATTGTTATTCAAACTTTCAAATAAGAAATCTATCTGATAAAAATATAACAAGATACGGATGTGATAAACTTAAAAGTTAGAGCAGATGTGCAAGATTACATGCAACAATTCCTATACCATGGTCTTACACCTTATTTGTTTTCTTTTTTTTTCTAAAATCAAAATTTTATTGATTCTTCTAATCATTAATTTCTTCGACAGGAGAAAAGTTTCCTGTTGCTAGACATCACAAAAAGTGTTTTGAAATTTAGTTATGTAAACAATGCAGACTTACATGATATGTCTAGTAATAAGAAACTTTTGAAAATTGATGAAAATATTGATGGAAACTGATATTTGGTCATATTTTGTATAATTTTCAGCAAAATTTGGATGTTATAGAATAACAGAAGATTTGATTAGTCGATTCGAACGAATTACTAGCCAAAAAGCACACCCAATGCTGCGACGTGGGCTATTCTTTGCACATCGGTATGAAATTACAGAGTCGTAAAATATATTTTGTTGATATGAAAACTGGAAGCAACTTTGATTATTCGGATTTGACTAGTTACGTCTTCTCTAAGTAGAAGTTTCATAATTGAGGAGTAATTTCTGTTATGATACCTCATATTATGTGATTGGAGATAGTCGAACGTTCAAAAATCGAGTGAAAGAAAGAAGAAAAAAGAAAACAGTTAAGATAAAGAAATTGAAATAAGTGGTGAAACATGTCTTATTTTTCAATTATTATTGAGAAAAAGAGTTTCGTATATTTTTAGTGATTGTCACTAATTTTGTATAATTAGTTACAGAAATTCAACAATAAAACAATTACTTGTACAATACTATGAATTGATTAAATATAAAGTTTTTTAGTGATTTGTCACTAATTTTGGATCGCTTGGAACAGAAAAAGCCATTTTTCTTATACACAGGTCGAGGTCCGAGTAGTGGTAGCCTACATCTTGGACATCTTATCCCATTCGTTTTTACAAAATGGTTGCAGGATGTGTTTGATGTGCCTCTCATCATTCAGGTTGGTTATTAGTCCTACACTGAAATTCTGGACACGTTCCTTTTTTTTTTCATTGCAGAAATATTTCAGGATATTCTAAATCTTTTTACGCAGCATATTGAAATACATGGTTATATCTTATTTTATATCAATTGATATTAAAAATATAATACATTTACATACTGTGTCTCGTCAAATTTTCAGGTAACAGACGATGAAAAATTCCTTTGGAAAAATCACACACTAGATGAAATCAAGCGTATGGCAAATGAGAATATTAAAGATATTATTGCTTGTGGCTTTAGTCCTGACAAAACTTTCATCTTTTTAGATACTGAGTATATGTGGTAAGTGTAACTATATTTACGCCCATTGTTTGTTCCATTCAGATCAATTGAAGTAAATTTCAGTCCATCCTTTTACACCAATATTTTGAAAATATGGAAACTTGTAACAGTTAATCAAGCACGATCAATTTTTGGATTTACCGGTGAAGATTCAATGGGTAAAGCAGCCTTTCCATCAATTGAGGCAGCTCCGTGCTTCAGCAGTAGTTTCCCTTTAATATTTGGGAAGCGTGAAGATATTCCATGTATTATTCCATGCGCAATTGATCAGGTTTGCTTATTTTTACAAAAAATATTTTTCTATTTTGATTTCAAATATGTTCACGTTCAGATTGTGTGATTTACATCTTTTAGGATCCTTATTTCCGGATGTGTCGTGATGTTGCGCCACGATTGAAATATTTAAAGCCGGCAATGATATACAGTTCGTTCTTACCAGCCTTACAAGGTGCGCAAAGCAAAATGGCTGCGTCTGATGCCACCACATGTATTTATTTGGATGATACGCCTAAACAAATAAAAAATAAGGTTCTATTTTCTTATCTAATTTGTCGAGGAGGACTTTTTGAAGAATCCTTGGGAATTTTCGTTCATTGAGCAATCCTAACGATAATCGTTTAAGATGTATAATCTTATCATTTCTCCCTAAATGAGAATTTTTTTGTTTATTATATTTTGGTATCTTTTTTACTTACTTTTCATATATGCCTTTTTTTGGGCTTATAATGACGGCCAATTTTTTTTACCTTTTGCAATGACAGTAAAGAGGCATTTGTTATGCAGGTCGTCATTAAGAAAGATGGGAACCAAATAAATGAACCTGTACAATGCTGTTTGCCTTCTAAAATCAGGAGAAGCTTTTATTTAAATATTTCTTTTCAGATCAATAAGTACGCTTTTAGTGGTGGATGTGATACAGTTGAGGAGCATCGTAAATATGGTGGTAACTGTGATGTTGATATTTCATATCAGTTCTTGCGATATTTCATGGAGGATGATGATGAATTAGAAAGTATACGTCAGGTAAGTCTTCAAATCTGTTGTTTCTAGCTTTCATTTATGAGCATGTTCTATAAACTGATAATTAACATTTACATGAAAAGAAAAGTATGAGTATTCTGACAACTCGTTTTAATAATTACTTGATGCAAGTGGATTAAGCGGACGAATCAGTTGTTTAATTTGGTCTTTTTAATTTTTCTTTTTTCTTAAATGCACTTGTGTTGTGTTATAAAAAGACATACTGCATTAAATAATCAGGAATTTTGACATTTCCAAGTTCATTTCATACTTTCATAGCTTAATTCGTCCGATTATCTGCAATAGTTTTATTGCAACTGCGCTTCACCTTGTCCTAGTGCAAATTTGCATATTGCTATTAATGTCATTGCAATTTTTTTCCAAGACTGATAGATAAGGACCATATTTTATCTCCTTGCTTTTATATCACTCATTTCATTAATCCAGGTTTGATCTATAAAATTTTCTAGCGTTATGCAAACGGTGAATTATTAACTGGTGAACTTAAAGCAATAGCCATTAAAGAAGTGCAGCGGGTTATGACAGAATTACAGAATCGGCGAAAAGAAGTGACCGACGAAGTAGTGAAAAGTTTTACTGTTCCACGGAAATTAAAGTATGATTATTGAGAAAGGAATATAACTATTCAAAATTTGGTTTGGATTTTTGATTGATTTCGTTTCTTTCCTTGAAGGTTGTTTCAGATTTTTTTGTTTTGTTTTTTGTGCTTAATTAGGGATAACGTAGAAGTTTTCTTTTGTGGGATTGTTTAATTCTTATGACTTAATTTACATTTGTCCGTACTTTCGTTAGCCTACATTTATATGAACTAACTTTGTTGCTTTAAAATTTTTGAAGTCTCCCGACAAACCATTTTCTTGTTCATTTTCTTCTGTTATGCTCTCTTCTGTTTACTGTCATTCTACGCGTCATGCAAGTCGTGATATGCTTTTTGACATTGAATGTTGGCTTCTTTAAATGTTTGAGATATCGAAATTTCAAGCATTTTTTTTTTTTTTTTTGTTAATTGTTTAAATCTTCAGCTTTTCAGACTTTAATATTTTGATGAAATTGTATTCTACAAGCTGGTGATAAATGTCGCAGTTGAAACATATCCAGCATCTTTCACCATTCAAAAACCAGTCGCAAATATATTGGCATAATTTTATCTTTAAAATTATCATACAGTCGAGAAGAGATCAGTAAGCAGCTTATTTATTTTCTTTAACCATAATTCATGACTTCACGTCAAAGAGTAGTATATAGTTCTGGCCATGATTTTATACAGTACAAGTTGATTTTAGGGTAATCCAATAACATGAAGTTTACTTTCTAAGTTTCATTAATGAAAATTGTTAGACATTTAAGGTTTGGATCAGTTATTCGTCTATGTTTTTATTAAGGGAGAATACTCTCTGCTTTAACAGCTAATTCTCAAACATACATTTGCGATTATAAATATTCGTTGTGACTAAACAAAAGGGAATGCTGCATTCTTGGAAGAAATAAAATGCATTTATTAGAACTTTTAATAAAAAAAATTGCTGAATGTTGTGAATTGGGAAAGTAATTACTTTTATAGTTCAATCAATGAAACAGGAAAATGATATGCCTTAATAAATACAAATGATTACTGTTATATTTAAAAGTAGCTCAACATTTATAATTAAAGTTTCATTTCTATCATGCAATCATTATAATAAATTATCTATGTAAATATGACATGTTAATGTCATAAATTTTAAATTCTTGTTCAACATTAACATTTAATTAATAACACATATCTATTCACCCACAAACTTCATCAATTTTTATTATACCGCTAATATAAAACAAGAATTTAAAATAATGCTATAATTTCACTAAATTATAGCATTATTTTAAATATTATTTCTATAAAGTTTCTAGCATTAAGTCTATTAATAATATGAATTAGTAAGCAATAAGTGAAAGAAAAATGAAAAATGGCAACGGAAAGAAAAAACGAATAAAACAAGAATGTAGAAGATATGGAATAATTGTAAATAATTGTAATCAGTTAGAATAAATTTTGAATAGTTTAAAAGTATTGCGAGTAATTACGATTTATTCGTATTAGTATTCAAAATGCAAAAATATGTAGTCTGGATAGTAATCATTTAATTATTCTAAATCATTTTTTATTTAATAGAAGGTGAATGTAAATTGAATATAATCCTATTGCGAAAGATGTTAAATTATATATTCTTTGAATTTTCCCAAAAATTTTACGGGTATAGTGTTAATGGTGTTGATTTTATGAAAAAATACTATCAATACTGAAAGAGTAAATGTTCTATTCATAGCCATTATCAATTTCAATTTTAATTTCAATATGTGGTGGAAGCTTTTGAAGGACATACATATTCCATTAATGAATGTTATAAAAAATGATAAATGTTTCTTCTGATGACATTTCGACCTTTTGGATGTTTATGCAAATTGTGTAAATTATATGAAAGTTAACTCTCTTAGATAAGAATCTAAGAATCGAATGATGCCGAAAAAGGAAAGAAAATGAATTATCCTAAATGCTTTTAATGGTTCCATTCCATCCTACCATTTCTGCTTTTATTACACTTTCAAAAAGTTCTCCAACCAAAAAAAAGTAGTGCAAAAGGAAAAATTCAATCATTCCTACAAAATTTCTGCATTTGTTATATTAAATAAACAATTAGCATTCTTATTCAAATTGATTTAATCAGAAATTTTCCCTAATATGATGAACTGATTCCAAACAAAATAAATAATATCATAAATGAATAATCTAACTATAAATATATATTTATTTCTTAATACCAAGCATTAATTTATCAACAAGTTTTCAGGAATTCGAAATCAGATAACTAATTCCTTAATAATATTTTAAGATTTCTTCGAACAAAATAAATTGAATTTATTGATCTCTTATCGTCAAATTTATTATATTTCTAATTAGTTTATGTGCGATTAAATATTTGCACCAAAAGTTTTCCCAAAATTTCGGAATAAATGAAAATATTTCTTCTTTTTATTGATGGTTTTAATACTAAATTATTTTCAAGAAATTTCTTTGTTTTCAAAAAAACAAAACTTAATTTTTAACATTTTATCATTGCTTTGGAAAACATAAACTCTACATTATGTAAGAACGAAAGAATTAGTTTTGCGATTCCGGGACAAGCTACCATTCCGGACAATTGATGAAGTTCCGCTTCCGGAATTTACTTGAATCTTCTCATACGTTTCATTTCTTATTCTTCATTTCATACTCGACAAATCGAGTGAAATCATCATTTACGGTTGCAAAGCTAACGCAACTAGCAGCGAGTGGTTTCGATCCACCGACCTCTGGGTTATGGGCCCAGCACGCTTCCACTGCGCCACGCTGCTACAACCTTCAACACCTTCCTCAAAATTAAATTTTTAATAGACAAAATTAATTATCGTCGATGAAGTTATTTATCATTTCAGAAATTAGTTACCACTTAAAAAGTTTGTTATCGTCTGAGAAGTTAATTAACGCTTAGTATTTCTCTGAGAAGTTAATTACGGCTTTTTCCATACTTTTTAAAGCATATAGGAAATACAAGATGAAAATAATTGAAATTGAAATTTGGTAACAATTAACAGTGATTTGTTATATGAATGAATAAATTAATTCGAATAAATTAAAGAATAAATTAATTGTTAACTTAATATTACCTGATTTGGATGTGTATACTAGTTGTAGAAGATTGTTTGAAATTACACAAATGCATTTTGTAACTGTTTTCTTCTAGAATGAATATATTTGGAGATGAAATTCAGTAAAGCATTTTTTTCTGCTGAAACGAAAATGAGAACATTGATCAAATATTAACGATAAAATAACATTTTCTGTTTCCTTAGTGCAAGTAATAATAATAACGTTTTCATGGGATGCAATAATCCTGTCAAACTTTACATTTAACAATCTTTTCTTAAAACTAAAAAAAAAAAAGCTATTTAAGTACTTTGAAATATGCCAAAAATTTTGAGAATTTGTGTTTTAAGTTTTTTGCGATATTACTGAAATTAAAATTTAATCTTGCTGATTCTTTGAAAAAATCGACAATCAGAACACGTTTTATTTGCCTATTAAAAGCGATTAAATGATTTTATTTTGTTCATTATTTTCTCACACAATGATTACCAATTACTTAGCAATTCTCTAATTATTAAAGGAATACCTGAATTATTAGATAGATACCCGATTTATTAGAGGAATACCTGAATTATTGAAAGGTTGTCTAAATTATTAGGGTAATGCCTAAATTATTAATGATAATAATTAATAATAATATTAATAATAAAACAGAAATAATATTGAAAACAATTAGTGATGATCGCTGAAATCATTCGCAATCTTTGTTAGACTAAATGAAAATTTAAACTTTCTGAAACAGTTGTAACAATTACTTAAATTCTGTCCATTGATTTAGACTATAATTATTAGGTTATGATAATTATGATTGGTTGAATTGCTTACTTTTGTTATAAACAATAAGCATTTATCTTTTAGCAGATCGATTAGCAGCACTTTTTCACATCCTGAAATTATATCTAAATAGCGGTAAATTGTTAGTTACAATTATAGTTACTAGTTAAAGACTATCAAAAATATATCCTAGCATAATGATATAGGAATGATTAATACTTATCAGCTAATCAAATTTTATGAATTCAAAGAAAGCAACAATCACTGCTGCAAATGTATTAGCATAGTACGATGAAAGATATTTACGAGTTATTTATTAATTTATCATTAACAATGATAGCAACAAAGTTTCATTTCACCATACATCAATTTATACTCATAACTCATTAATTATTAATTACACCTATAAAGCTACTTAAGCAAATCTAACATAGGCAACAAATGAACAAATGAATTCCAATTTCATATAATTCTCATAACTTTCTATTTCCTTTCCCATTTCCATAATATAAAATTTTAAATTATATAAAAAATTCTGAATTATAAAATGATACCATTAAAATAGTGTCATTTTAATACTACTGGCGGAATTAATATTCAATGAAAAATGATATAGTTCGTTATATATAGTTATATATAAATGTTTAATTTTGTTTTATATTTTAATAAGTCTCATATATGAAGTACATGCTTAGCTCAATGTTTAATAACTTGTTTTTAAAAGTAAACTCAATTTTGTTAGTTACTCAAAAAAAAAAAAAAAAAAAAAAAAAAAAAAAACAGGCAATAGAGATATGCATGCAGCTTTCTGATTACTAAAAATTTAAATTGAAATAAGAATTTTTAAATGAAATTAGCTCGTAATTTTTGGCTTGTTATGAGCTACTTATATAAGCTTTGCTTCTGTGAACTAATGTCGCATCAACTTTATCACTTATTAATTTTGCTATTTATTATATAACTGCATTAAAAATTTTTTTGAACGTAGTAAAAGGTAATAAAATTTGTACAAAAATTTTAATGTTAAAGAAAAAATTTTTAATGTTTATTACAGCTTCTTCATAATTGCTGCTAAAAAAGTAATGCTAATTCGATCTGAGTATTTTTACATCCTTTTATTGCTTTTATTTGCTGCTGTAATGAAAGCTGCTAATTTGGGTTAGTCAAATTTTCATTTTAGTTTTAGATAAAAACATAAAAAAAAAAAATTGAAATGCTGTGAGTGAGCATAGAAAAGAAATGGGGTCAAAGTTGAAATGTCAAACCAGAGATTACAAAGTAGGTCGAAGCAATTATCATAATCATTCAAAATTAGTAGTGCACTTACTGATTTTTCTATGCATTGAGAAAATTTTCATTTAAAATCTTTTCAAAAAGATGACAGAAATTTTTTCAAGTAAAATTCTTTTCATACATTTTATTCAAATCTCAAAAGTAAAACTTTATTCAATAACTTTATCATATAATATGTTTTGAGCATGTGAGGATATTATGACAACAAATACTGGAAATGTAATATATTTGCAAGCTAACTATGCAACGAAACATGCGCCAGGGACAGCAGCGCTTATGTCATGCAAATTTGGTTATGTTAGCTCATTTCCTTTCCTGGTTTTTTGCCAATCAAATGGTAAATGGAATGATAAGCTTGGTCATTCTTTCTCTCATTTGAGTTTTTTTGCAATTAATTAAATATAATTTATTCTACGATTTTTAGATTTCATAATTTTTGATAAATTTCTTTCACTTCAAATCAGCTTATCATACAATGCATAATTCATTTTTAGCCTTATAATTAATTATCTTACCTTTAATATTTCAGGTGAATGCACATTAACTTCTAAGGCTTGTAAACCTCAAAATACTGCTTACAATGTTGTTTACATGCCTGTAAGCATTTTTTTAATAATATATATGTGTGCGTGTGTGTTCTTCACTTGACTTTTCAAATTTTTGGTTGTAAAATAATGCAATAAAGAAAAAGGAAAGCACGAAATAGTAGGAAATTACTCATAGCAATTACAGTTTAAAATTACTAATAAAGCAAAAGAAAGAACTTAAGTATATTAGAAATTTCTCGACTGGTATATTCTTCATTTGCATGCATATATGTATTTTACTCTGAGTAAGTGCATGAATTGCATGCTTTTTTATAAACCTACATTTTTCTTGCTTGTATAATAAGTAAAATTTCCAAATTCTACAGAAGTTCGTTCTCGTATTCAAAATGATTGAAGCAAAAAAGTTGATAAATACGAAAATGATTGATGGATATTTGTTCCTATTTACTTTAACTCGGCGTCTTGTAAATTTATGCATGCATGCATGAATGCAGTGCTTTATGTTATTTCAAAAAATTGCATTTTTAATCACATTTGAAGTCTTTTGCGTTTTTTTTTTATTTGTTAAATTTTTTTCTTTTTTTTTTTTTTTTTTTTTGTAGCCAGAAACCTCTGACAGATATCCATCCGGTACATTTGCAATATTGCATTGTTCGGTTGGCCAAGTACCAATTGGGCCGCTATCTGCTGTATGCTTGAATGGAAATTGGACTGCCGAACTGGGTTACTGCCAAGAATTGTTCGTGGGTGGCATTTCTAGTGCTGTGGATCGAAGAAGTTATGTCATAATTACTCAGCCGAATGGTTATATTCAATCAGATAGTAGCACACAGTCAGGTAGGTATACTGCAATAACATTCATCATAGCATCATAGCACTCAATTCACGACCATTTAACTATATATTATGATAACTTAACTATACTGTAATAATTTAATTATATTACAATGAATATGTCATTTTCATGTTCCAATTGTTATCACTCTTGATTCTCGAAATAATTTTTCAGCGATGACATCTGATGCTATCACTGTCAATGCAGAAGCAAAACAGTCGATTATGACAAATGCAACAATAACAGAAGCGCAAAATGAAACATTAACTGAAGCAATTTCAGATGTTTTTTATGACAAATACAATACTATTTCAGAACCAAATTTAGAAGAAACAAATACGACTGCAATTTTATCGCAACAGTTTATAGACAATAACGAATTGATCGATGAACCAGATAAAATGACAATAGTTTCAGTTCTAGCAGATGACTAATTCAACAAGAGATTCTTTCTCTCTCTCTCTCTCGGTCTCTCTGTATGTGTATGTACAACTAAAAATTATTCTTTAATTTTAACTTTGTAATAAAATTGATAATTTGCTGAGAAACGATAAATTCATTTTAAAAAAGTATATGAACTTTTTCAAATATCATTCAATATTCTTTAACTTCTTTTTTAACTTTAACTTTATAATAAAATGCTAATTTGCTAAACACTTAATTAAGAAAAATCCTTTTCAATAGTTAAATGATAATTTCATCTAAAAAATGTTATTTAAATCTACAAAAAATATTGCAAAAATCTGAAAAAAACTGATTGGTTGATTGATTAAAATTACTTCATACTTCTTTAAAACATTGATATTATCAAATTTTATCATCTAATACATTATCATTTAGATGTGTACTTGTTTAATTAAAATTGTAAACTGTACAATATTGCAATTCAATTCGGTTAAAATTGTTTTATACATAATCAGTTAAAATATATGAATAATTACTGCAGTAATTCATACATGTAAATATGCACAAATTTTAAAATAATATTTGTCATTGATTATAAGCGAATTTGTTTGCAGTGAACAAATCACAAATGTTTTGAATGATTTATTAAGTAAACTTTCTTTCATTTCTTATTTACCATCGTTACGTACTTGCGTTTTACCTTTTTGATCTTTCTTGAACATCCAATCCATTAAACCCATTTTGTATGCACCGATAGATGTCATTAGAGTTGTTACGGTGAGAATTATCATCTTATTGTTTAATTTACCTGTCATCATGATTCTACGTTTGGTATATGTGCCAGGAAATTAATTGTTCACGAAATTTGCTGAATGGATGCTTTTGAAGGATATAAATGTGACAATGTGACAGCACAGTAATCAAATTAATAGGGATAATGGAAATTGAGCAGCTTAAATTGAAAACAGTGATTAAATCATTGGAAAATTAAATATTTATACTTTTACAAGTTTGTAATTTATGGATAAATTTTTGAAATTATGCAAATATTATTTAGAAACATGTGATTTTATTCATTATTAAATTCAAATAGTTATAATTGGAAATGAATAAATTCAAAAATTATAATTGCAGCATATTTGTTTGACAAAAAAAAAATCATAATTTTATTCCATTGAAAATAATTTTAAATGAATTTAAAGACGAATTAATGCGATAATATAATGATATTTTGAAATAAATTAAAGAAAGTACTTTGAATAATAACCCTTTGATGAATCATTACATTACCTCTTTTTGCGTAAACAAAATAAATAAATAAAAGCATAAAAGTAAAATAGCAAATATGTTAGCAAGAAATAAAATATTTTACATTATGAAAAGCATTCAAACATAAAGCATAGGTATATTTAATTAGTTGCTTTAGTATGCCACTATTCAACAGGTAAATTGCTTACAAATGTAAACATCAGTAATCAGTAAAAACATCAGTAATTGTGATAAACTTTCACCAATCAGTTTATCAATCAATTTTTTGATGCATTATTTAATCATTATTATTAGTACCGCCGAATTATTTCAGTTAACATTGTTTAAATTATATTTTGACATTTTAATATCATTGTACTAGAATCTATGTATGATTACTTCATTTAAAATAAACGTTCAAATTAATATTGGTAAATAGAAATTAAAAAGATTGGCTAAATAATATTCCACCAATAATTTTTGAGTAAATTTCCTTTCTTTCATATACAATAAAGAAAAAAAGAATTTGTGAATACAAAAAATAATGAAAATTCAATATAAATGCAATAAGCGCCAAGCTCTTTTGACTTAAACAAATTCAGAATAATAGCTTATTTTTTCCCATGGCTTTAACTATTTATTGCTATTAGTGATTTGTTTTCATTTTGCAAATATTGAAACATTTGCTAATGCATAAATTTATTTAGCATTTTATGCTGCAATAAGTGTTAAAAGCTTTAATATGTCATAAACATATTCTAATATCAAATTAATTAATACTTTTACTTAATTTTTCATAAACAGAATGGTAGTAAATGATTTTATCATCATTTGTCTCAGAGATTAGCGATAATTGATGAACTATGTAAAAATTTATATAAGTAATATTTGGAAACAAATGATATGATATTTTTATGCGCCTAAAAAGGACATGTGAAGAAACATTTGCGCAAACATCAGATAACTTATTTGACATTTCAATGATTAAATATAAATCTGAATGAAAAAGTATATATGTTACAAAAGAAAAAAAAATCATTCAAATAAATTGGTTAAAAATAAAATGAAAAAGTAGGAGAAAATATTTATAAAAACTGAAATTTGTGAAGATTTAATATTTATACAGAAAATAAAATGTTTAAATTTAAATTTTTGATAAATATCATAATGCTTCATCAATCTGTCCACGTTGTAATGATGATCGCATTGGTTGTTGAAAAATGACACCAAATTTGATCAATAATATAAGCGCTAATGATGTAATCATGACAGTTGCGCTTACACCAAGCAACACTAATACAAATGCTGATCGTGGTTCTTCTGAATTTTCAGAATTGCTAATAAATCGTTTGGTATATTTGTGATAAAAAATAAAAGATGTAAAATAAATAGAAAATTTTGAACCAAATTTTAATTCTGAATATATCAAAATTACTGATATTGAATATTTTATTATTTATTCAAAATATATAATACATTAGCTAATTTTTAAATGTCCAAATTATTGATTTCAAATTTTGCTACGTATAAGTTTAATTTCATTTTTCGGTTAGGTTGTATATAAGTTCAAAAAAGAACAAAGGAAATGATCGATAAAAATTTACAACAAATATTACCTGTATCTGTTGGATTAATAGATAATTTGGGTTCACGAATAGGTGAAATTGGAGGTATGCTAATTCTAGAATCTATAATTAGTTGAATTCATTAAGCAGTTAATGAAAAAGTTTTTTTGAAAGTAATTATCAGTGGAATTCCAGTAATGCTAATGCATCCTTATGTATCTACAACTGATAAATTTCGGTTACTTCAAAACAATTTCAATTTTGTAAATATTTATTGGAAAAATTTTCTATTATCACAGTTATATTCAACAATGTGATTTAACGTATATTTCTGTATTAATGTTTATTTGATTCATTTATACATTTATATAAATGATAAGGATGTAAGATGATAAGCTTATTTCATCTATATTAAATAACTGAAAAGCTGAAAAGAATTTTTTTTTAAAAAAAAAGTGACAGTGATAATTAAATATGATTAGCAGTTATAATTTAACACTTTGCAAATTATACTAATAGAATTTTTTATTAAAAAAAAAGCTAACCAAATATGGTTGGTTGTATTTTTTCTCGCAATATTTTAGAAATGGTGGTAACAGTGGCATAAATTGTTGTTATTGTTGTTGATTTGGTTGATTTTACTTTCTGCGGTATCTTTGAAATGGAAATATTAGTGGAAGTTGTTGTTGCTTGTTTAACAGTTGGTTTTGTTGATTCAATGATTTTTGTGGTTAATACTATTGTTTCAGGAATAACAGTAATATTCATTGCTGTTGCTGTCGTTACTGTTGTTGTTCTTGCTGTTGTTGTTGTTGTTGTTGCTGTCGTTGTTGTTGTTGTTGTTGTTGTTGTTGTTGCTGTCGTTGTCGTTGTTGTTGTTGTTGTTGTTGTTGTTGTTGCTGTTGTTGTTTTTGTTGTTGTTGTTTTTGTTGTTGTTGCTGTTGTTGTTTTTGTTGTTGTTGTTATTGTTGTCGTTGCTGCTGTTGTTGTTGTTGTAATTTTCGCAGTAGTATTAGGAATATGAACAGCAGCAGCAATTGTCACTATTGGTGTCATAGTTGCTACAAATAATTATAATGAAAATTGCGAATTAGTAAAATTTAAATAAGCAAATTAATTAATTTATCAAAATTAATCTATCACAGCAAGCATATTTATTTATTAAAATAAATATGATAATTTGAGAGACAATGGTTATTAATGGCTTATAATGTTTGTTTTGATTATGAATAATTTAATTGAAATTGCAAAAATCGCTAATTGTTCACGTTCATTGATTTATTTGTTAAGAAGTTAATAAATAGAGAAGAAATTTGATAGTATCTTTTAGTAAACGATAATTTTTTTTTAATTCTATAATTGAATAAAATAAATTTAATAAGATTTTACTCTGATTCTTAATGAAACTTTCAACGAATGCAACAATAACAGCAGCAATAATGACCAGTTGCGCTCTCTGTTTAAACTTCCTGCATTTTCTAGCTAATTTTTATTTTGCTAACAAAACAAAGAAAAAATAAAATAATGTCACCCGTACACAGTAACACTTCTACTGTATTTTTTACCCAATACTCTACGTCATTTGCGCTTTTCTTCAAATAAAACTCATTACTAGCAATCAAATTTAACTAATTTTATATGCTTGTAGTAATCATTCATTTCAAAACGTTCAGTCTATTGTAACAATAATTTTTCTTTCTTTTTTTTTTTTTGCTCTCCGCCAATTTCCTAAATTTGTTGAAGAATGCTCAAAATACATTCTATCAGAATTTTTCTCTCTCATTTAATTATTTAATTGAAATATTACTAAATTAAGTTGGTAGGTCAATTTTAGGTTTGTTTAGCAAAGGATTATTATCAGATTTATAAATTAGAGTAAATTATCAAATTAACAATTTTATGCTAACTTACCGCTTATTTTCGCTACTACACAAAATCATTTTTTATCTTTCTTCTCGAAGTATAAACCAACCAATCGTTGCAGAAAAAAAAAATTACTGAAAACAATGACAAAAAAAAAAAAAAATTTCCATAAATACTGAAATAATTATAGGAAATTTGGTTGAATGAAAGTTAGTAAATTATAAAAAATTTTTTGCATGATTGGACAATTAAATTTAAATAATTTCCCATGAAAGTAGCAGTTTTTCAAAGCACGAAATGAAAATTACTACAAAATCAATTTGAAAAAAAAATCGAATTTTAAATTAAAACCAAAAATGTAAATTAGAAATTGAAATGGGATTAAATTAGAAATTGAGAAAAAGAATATTAGAACTTTATTTTCATCTTTCAATCACATCATTTAAAAGGTTTCATGTATGAAATATTTGGGAATGATGTAAATATGTCAACAAATGTTACACAAAATTAACTTTATTATTTTCTAATGAGATAATATAAATATTTTAGTATAAATTTAGGTATATTTCTGTTATTAATTAAAAAAAAAAAAACTTTTTAATTAAGTCTAAAACAGATACATATAAAATAATTATTCATCTATCCATAAGTGTTATTAACACTGAATTTTTATTATTAAGTCTGCGCTTTGCATTAAAGCAAATTTGAAAAAAAAAATGTAGAAGTAGGCAAAATTTTTGAATTTTAATTTGCATAGCAATTGCAATAAGTAATAAGCGAGGATGCAATAAGTATATAAAAGGGATAGAAGTAAAATTTCATTTATTATTGTAAATTATTTGTCATTGATAACAAGATTAACTGTAAGAGAATTAATTAATCGGTTCATTTTGAGACTAAAATATTTTGAGAAGGATGAGTGCGCTTTGCATTTTATTCATTTTGGGATTTATTGGTCTTGGCGTAGCATATTATCTTGGCTATTTGGATCAATATGTTGCAAAAATTAAACAATAGAAACGATGAAATGCAATATATCAGATAAAAGATATTTGACAAATTCTCTGAATTAAATTAAAATGATCCATATTTTTCCTTTTTCTTTGTATTATAATGTATAATATATATATAATGTATGTATTATATGTACTTCAAATTATTTGAAATAAACACTTATTCACTGGGCGAAATAAATTGCAAATTTAATTTCTTCTTTTATAATTCTGTCTGATCAGCAACTCATTCTCTTATTTGAACAATACCAAAAAAGTATAATGCATTCAATTAGAACAAAAAAAAAACATTCTCCTAATTTTCTTTAAAATTTGAGGAATTAAAAGAAATTCACATTGAACTATTTTGTGTGAAAATATATACCACTTCGAGTATTTGAAAATTAAAATATCTTGTTAGTAAAGAATGTGGGATAGGAATTAAAATGTGGAATTAAAATGTTTTTTTTTAGCAAAGAATATGAGATGAAAATTAAAATCTTTTTTTTTAGTAATTAAACATCCATTAATCATTCATTTCTCATTTGTGTAAGATTTGTTAATGTTCTTTAAAACAATGTTTGACAATCTGAATTTAATCTATAATTAAATTATTTGGTAAAAATTGATAAAAATTTTGATTCATTATGAATTGAATAATTAACTAAAACTTTTGCACTTATAACTAATTTGTCAGCAATGAAATTCATTTGAATTAATTAGAAAATCTAATGAATGCACTATTTATCATTCATTTATGTTTCGTTTTTTTTTCTCCTTCTTTTGTAACTTTTCCGTTAAACAAGACGTAAGCACAAGTGTCTAATGATTTTACAAAAGCAAATAATGAGAAACTGTAACATTTTATTTTCACTGTTTGCAATTTGAATTTCATAAAGCAATAAAATTATCAATTAATATGCACAAGAAGATGGCACTTTAAAATTTCTTCGAAAATTGAAATACTGAAAGATTAAAATTTCCATTCTATTATTTACTTATTTCATTGAGAAAAAACTTTTTCTAAATTAATTTCTTAAAATCATAATACTTTTCCTATTGGAATTAGAAATAAAATTCATCCATTGTCTCTTATTTTACATCATTTAAAAAAAAGAAAAATTTCAAAATTTAATGAAATGAATTGTTTCATTTACATTTATCGCTTAAGCAATTTCTTGGAATATGCAAATTTTTTAAAAATAAAGATAAATATTTATATAAACCAGCAAATAACGAAATACAATCATTGTTCATCAAAAGCCAGAAGTTAACTGATTTTCTTAACCCGTAATTCTGATTGGGTTTCGTATTCACGTTGATTTTACGTGTTCGTGTTCAATAATATTGCTTGCAATTGTGGGATAAAATGTCGGGGACAAAGCGACAAGCGGCATTAAGGCTAAGTGGTGCTAATCGTGCAAAACGAGGTGTAAAATTGAGCAAACCAATTCGAGACCGTGTAGCATGTCGTGATGAGTCACCAGAAATTCGAAGCGTTCGGAAAGGACGAATTCGTCTTGGTAGTGTTGCACCGTTGTTATCACGTCGAGCTAAAGCTCTTGCCATGGTAACAGAAGCATTTTTCATCAGTTAATTTCTTAACAAAAATTTATAATTTGAAGAGAAAAAAAGATTTGTTTTTTTCTTAAAATTTAATAATTGATGTTTTAAATAAAAGAAAGAACAGTTGTATTAAAATGAATGAATTTCAGAAGACACATTACAGTCACTACTCAGATGATGAAGACTCTGACGATAGTTGCACGGGCGATGGTGAGGAGAAGGACGAGGACGACGAGGAGAAAGATAATGATGAAGAATTTTATGATTATGATCAAAATCATCGATCATATAATCATCGTCGTACACCATCATATCATGTTAAGTGCATGTAATAAATTATCGTCTAATTTAATTCTGAAGAAAATTTAAAAAATTTTTGTAACTTTTTTTTCTTCAATATAAATTCAGGAAAGATTATGAGGAAGATTACGACGACGAGTTAGTTTCATCAACATCAAAGCATAATCGTACACAAGTTAAAAAGAAAAAAAAATTAAGTAAAACACGTAAAGCGACCACTGCTACGCCAACAATTTCAAATAGAACAAAATCGCTCACAAATGGAAAAGCTAAGAAAATTACTGCTCGATGTAATTCAAAAAAAACAAAAGCAGTACATAATGAGAAGACAATTCCATCTGGTCCAATAACACGTTCACGTAGGTATGATATTAAAATTAATTAAATTTTGTTTTCTTTCAAATAATTCCTCTTACTTTTTATAAATTATTTGACAATCATTTATCACTAAAAACTTTTGTATTTTATTAATTTTTAAGAGCAATGATGATGACCATGAATGATTATTAAACAGAAATTCAATAATAAATAAATCAAATTAAATTTATTCATTTCTATTGTATTTATTATTCATCGATTAAATCATAAATGAATAAATTTGCTATTACAATAAAATAAAATAAAATGATATTATTAATGTAACTATATAACACAATAAAACATTCAATCAAAATTTGCGTTTTTTTTTCTAACAATAAACATTGCATATAATTGTTAATTGATTTTATGAAAAAAAAGGAGAAATGCATGCTAAAATGTTTGAAATATTGAAAATATATCGATGAATAAATTAATTGCAAATAGTTAAACAGTTATTATTAAAGGATTTGCTTATATTTACAGCAATTATTATTTAAAATAATCCATAATCACATTATTTTCAAATCAAATTGTATATTAAAAGTTGCTAGATGAAATGATAATGATACTTGTGAATTACATTTGTAAATCTTTTCAACAAATTTCATATGTATTAGTGTATTAGTCTCTCTCTCTGTACTGTACTAATCATTTTCTGTTGTACTTAAAATTAATTAAATGCTCACTGAAATATTTCAATGGCTCTAATATTTTCCAAATTTAATACATCATTAACTTTTTCAAAAAAAGAAAAAAAAAAAACATTCATTTATCACAAAGTACAAAAATGTACTGTAATGAATAATAATTATTAATATTTTATAGTTATTATTTAAGAGTAAATAATAACTATAAAATATTTTATAGCTCTTATATGTGGATTGCTTATCATTTGTTGTTGCTTGATATTATTAATATATATTATCATGAATATGATTAAAGCAATTTACTTAATTAGACTAGGCTTAATTTGAGACTTATCATACTTCTAGGCTAGCAATAAAATTGTTAGAAATTTGGTTTTTTAAAAGGAATGAAAATTAGATAAAATGAAATATAAAAAAATTATATAACAATATGAGTATTCTTTCTTATCTTTTATATGTTTTTCATTCTTTGCAAAAAAAGAATTATAAATATATTTTTACAATTACTTAATAAATAGATAATTTAATTTGCAAGAAATATATAAAAAGCATTCAATTATAATAAATAATTATTGGTGTTTTATGATTATCAGTGATAATCATATTAATAAGTATGATTTAATTGAGAAGAAACCTATATGAAATTATTTACCAATAAATTTATGTTTATCAATTATAACCGTATCAAAACATATCTACAAAACCTTAATGGTATCATCGTTATCACTAGGAAAGTTTAAGATCAAAAAATATGAGATTCAGTTATTTTCGAAAATTATCATTAAAATAAGTTTTTTTTTTTTTTCTACTTTTTTTATCTTTACGAATTGTATGTAATTTGTTTAAATGTATAGTAGAATCTATTATCGTTCAACGTACTGTAACTTTACACTTAAACTTTCTTAACACTGTAAGTAAATGATAGTTGATAAGATTGTATTTATCAATCAGTTGCTAATTTTTCCACTTTATGCTAATTGATAAGATAAATGATAACAGAGATAAAAGTTTCTTAATAATAATTAATGCATTTCATCAAAAATACGTATTTCATTTATTACAATTATAAATTAAAGTCATAGTAAAATCGATCAGTTCCATATATTATTGTAAATGTGAGTTTTTTTTTTTTTTTCTTCTATATTAATTTATAAACATTCTTTGTTGATTTGCCATCAGTTTGTCAATGTTTCGCCTTCTGTTGAATTTGAGCGATGTATGAATCCAAATGACCAGTATAATAAGCTGCTGCAAGGCCTGCTATAATAGCCAGAAATAATAGGACTAGGAAGCTCATCTTAGCTTTGAAATGCAGCTGCTATTCAAATTTAATTAAAAAAGTAACAATGATCATTTCAAGTATTAAATGTTGCATTTTAAATATTTGTAATCATATTAAATGCAAATAAAGCTTTATCATATTGCTTTTTAATCACTTTTTTTTTTGCAAAATCAAATTATCACAAATTATGATAGATTTAAATAATTATTGATAATAATTTGTTTTATAAATTTAAAAAAAAATGAAAAAAAAAAACAATTACACATAAAAATTGTGGAAAAAAAGATTAAATTTCTTTTTACTTTCATAATCCTAAAATTCTTATTGAATAAATAAGCAGAAAATGTGATAAAATAATGTAATAATTTAAGATTTTTGGTAAATTTATAATTAAATTTTATTTTTGGAAAGAAATACTATCACTTTGTATGAAAGTATTAAATGATAGCAATTTAAATTATTCGAATACTAATGCTATTTTCACGTCATTAAAAATTTTAATATGTGAAAGTTTTCGTATGAAATTATATATAGAAATGCTATGATTTAATCTTTTTTTTTTCGATCTATTCGAATTTTTTTTTAAAATTTGCTTAATACGTTTGAAAAATGATTAATATGAACAAATTTCAGGTTTGCTATATTAGCTGAGCAAAATACCTATTTTATAAAATACTTACTTACCTTACTAAATAAATAAGCTTATTTGATTATTGAAAGCAATTAAGCTTAATCCATTTATGATTGTGGATAATTCCGCTCCTACTGTGCGTCACGTAAAAAACAAAGAAAATTACTACGCAGATTTGAAAGGTATAAGTAACTGAAATGGTTGCGTATATTTGACCGCGGACAATTGCGCCACATACTATGCCTCAAGCATTAGCAAATTTATGAAACTATATTTGTGATAAAAAATGGTTTTTTATAATATTTCATTTGATTATATCATTTTTATCTCTAACAAATTGTATCAATTAAAGTTAACCTTTAACCTCATCTAATTAATACTTATATCATTAAGAAATTCTTTTTTCCTTAAAGCACTTTTATCCAGTCATATTAGTTGTGCTTTATTGTTCCAAAAAAAACTAATTCAAAGCAAAATGTTAGAAATTGCAAAATTTTTTGTCATATATTGTTGTTAATGCATGAAAAAAATAATGTATAAAATTTATTTTCAAAGTAATAAAAGTAAAAAATCCATACACAATAAGAAAGGTGACAATATTATCAATAATTCTTTTTTTTTTCTTATAAAATTTTGAAACTCTAAAAAGATAATTCTTTTGAGGTATTTAATAATACCAAAAAGAAAAAAAAAGAACACAATCAGAGAAAAAAAAAATGAAATTCGATGGAAATGGAATAAGAGAAATATTGATATTACTTTTAATTTTTTTTTTTTAATATCAATATATCAATAAAAAGTAATACAAAACATGAATAATTGATTTCTGATTAAAAAAAAATGATATTTATTTGAGAATTTTTTAAAATATCATTCAGTTATTTGGTACAAACATGAATAATTAGTTGAAAATAAAGGAAAATTAAGCATAATAGTATGGTGTTTGATAGCGAAATGCTTTATAAAGCATAGATGTAGAAAATAATGCAAGCAAATCAATAATTATTAAAACGACGGAAATTTTAATGATATCTTTTTGAGATGAATCAAAATGATCGGATATTACTGCGAAACAATTCGGCTGAAATAAATATTTGAAAATTAATACTTTGAAACAGTTGGCTTTTCTTCCTTCTTTTTTTTTTTCAATGAAGTACCTTAACAGCAACTAATACTGCTAAAACTTTATTACCAATTTCATTTTTCATATTCTGCTAAAATAATAATTAATTGTATTATTATTGGTGATTATTTGTAAATGAAATTCAAATAATTGAGAATATACATTGACATTTTTAATCTAATACCATTGCTAGATTGTATTTCTAGATGAAAGCTATTGTGAACAGTTTTATAAAATTAATAATTTTAATTTTAGCAAAAAATTGAAGGAACTAATCAATATTTATCAAACAATGCATTAATAAATCTTTTAGATTTTTCACATTATTATTGTTATAAAATTGCATATTTTGAAACAATAAAAATGATTCCAAGAAAGATTTCTGTCAAATTCACAATGAGAAAATATCTAGAATTTTCTGAAAACGTTTCAAAAACTGTTTTCTTTGTTATTTTTTTAAGAAAAAAGAAAACGAACTTTATTTCTTAATTCATCCTCACATAAGCCATTCTCGATGTATCGAACCATTGTTTCATTTGTTGGACCACAACATTGGAATAAATCTTCGATAGGTTTAAAATGTTGCATTTCATCTTCTGATTCGCCAGTTTTTGATAGTAAATTCTGAGATGAAATAAACTTTTATGCTATCAATTTCTGTTATCATTTGATAAGGAAGGAATGATAAGTTATCAGAATTTCAGGATGATAAACGAAAATTTTTCTGTCATATTAAGTTTTTGCAGGTGAATTTTTGTAAAATTAGCTACTATTAATATATGCATATTTTAAAGGATTAAAGTTTGCACAATTTGGAATTTTTTGAAATGATTTAGTTTTTCAATAAATGATTTACTTTCATCTTTTAGCTTATACTTACCAGTATATAATAAAATATCAACAGAAATAAATTAAAATTATATATCTTTCAGGTTATAATTAATACCTCTTGTTTAACCAATAATTTAACACAATTTTTCGAAAGCTTTTCCAAAAGTTAAACCAATCAGATTAATTGTCTATCGTAATTTTCTTTAGGAGTGATGATCTCATCATCTGATGAAAACTTGAAAAATTTTTTAAAGTTAAAACATACGTAGGTCAAAAAGTTCATTCAAGTTCAAATCAAATATATCTTACAGTTCAGCAAAATTTCTCAAGCAAAAAAAAAAGAAAAAGGAATAAAAGCCAAAGAAAAGCGAATAACTTACATATAAAGCATTTTTAAATTGATCCTTGCCAGCAATTATAAGTACTATCGAAGCAACTTCAAGTATTGCAAGAATTAATACAATAATAGAAAACTAAAATTAGAAATAACTGAGAACGATTATAAGATTTATTTCAACAAATGAAATAATTTCAGAACCGATCAAAACAACAACCAAATCATCGCAACTTAATTAGCTAATTTACCATTTAACTTCATTTTAAACAATCAAATTAAAGTTTTTGAAAAATGTTATGTCTTATTTACAAATTATCCTCATTTAAATAGACAAAAACTCAACAGTTATTTTTTTCTAAAAAAAAAAGACAAGATTTCGAGTTAAAAAATTTCTTTAAAAAAAAATGCAAGCTGCTTATCAACATGTCAAATTTTAAATAAAATTATAAACTAATAAGAGGTGACCTAGTAAGAAAGGTAATAGCCTATTAAGAGATGTCAGCTTCTCGAAATAAAACAAAATTTCAACTTACTAAAGCCAATAGCTTGGTACTTTCACATATCGCACCACAACAACCGAGAAAACCAACAAGAAATATGGATGCACCAATAATTATTAATAACCACAATCCTATTTGATGCTGAAATAATTCATATTTCCTATCTAAAGCGAAAAAATTCAAATTCTATTTTTCAGATAATTTATGCCATTCAAGACAATTGGTCAAATTTTTGAATTGAATTCAACGATGATTTGATTTTTGCAAACGTCTAAAATTCGTTATATCTCAAAAATTAAGCGATAATTAAAAATAATGTGAATAGAATAGAAAATTTATACCTAAAATTTTGCATTAGGAATAAATTTGATAATAAGAAAATTGAATATATTTACTTGTGTTAGTTCAGGAGAATATTCTTTATGTATTTCCTGTACTTTTTCTAATTTTTGCAAAAAATTTTCATCATGATAAGCCCATAATGAAATGCCAAAAAGAAGTGCACCAAATGCACAAGTTAATAAATTTGCAGTGAAAAATAAAAATTTCAATGTTCGATTACCACAGCCGTGAACCATTTGTAGGAATATCTGAAATTGTACTTATCGGTTTAAAAATTGTACCGTACTAAATGTTATCATTTCCGGAACCGTTCAACATTTATCATTTCCGAAACATTGAAATATTTTCACAAATAAAGAAATAAAAAAAAAAAAAAAAATAAAACTAAGTGCAATGAATTATTTAGCTATAACAAGAATGATTCATCCTATTGAATTTTCTCGAGAATAATTCTTTTTATTGAATTTTTCCAAGAATGATTCTTTTCAGTATAAAATAAATAGAAATACTGTTCATCAGTAAATATTAACTGGTATAAGACTTTAATTTTTAACTAATTAATTAATTAAAATCAATATTGATCAAACCAACTACATTTCTGAAGAATGATTTGATTTATTATTGAAATAAGTGAAAATATCATTCATCAACAAATAATAACTAATATCAAACCTTAAACTTCAGTTGATTAATTAACTGAAGTTTATAACTACTCAAATCGAAATTTCTATTATTGATAAATGAAATTTCCTCCCGAACAGATGATAATCTTCCTCCTGTTGAAGGTTCTTTTTTTTTCTTTTCTTCCCATAGATATTGCCGGAAAAATCGAATTATAATATGTCGAAATAAAAGTGAATTAAACCAAAGGACTAAAGATTGTTCCAACTGAATATTTCTTAGGGAAATTTAAAATTGTTTCAAAATTATATTTCATTTAAGATAACATTCATATCTGCACTGCTTAATATTTCTTTGTTCCAAATGAAATTTGCATGCAATATTGAACTGTTGTAAACATTTGCTAATCCAACGACAGTCATTCTTAACACAATGTTGAAATTCAACTTTTACTACAGAAAGTGTAAAGATCATATCCTTCACTCATTGTAATCACATGTCATTGGTCATTATATAAGCATTTAAATCCTTTTTTTTGCCGTTTATGAAATATTTGAGCATATCATTTCAAGGCATATTTATAAACTAAAAACTAAAAAATAATAATTCTTAGAAAAAAAAAATTCTTAATTTCTTGTTATGATGATAATCATAACTCAGATTTAAGAAAGACTGTGCAGGATTTGAAATACGATATGTTAATCTAACTAATTATCTACTGGAACTTCTGAAAGTAAGAAAAAAGACATCCAGAAATTGAATAAAATAATTTAAAACTTATGTAAATAAAAAAAAAATTATGATTAGAAATGATAATTGATATAATGACAATTGAACAACAATGTATTAGAAAAGAGAATATGATTTTGGTGGATGTGAAAAAATTTGTTTTATAAATAAAATTTGAAATTATAAATAATATCCAAACTATTAAATACAATGCTTCAAAATTAATATAATAGTCTAATACAATTAATATGATAGGTTTATCTTTTAAATTATCTCTTCTTTTTTTAATGATATCCTATGAATTAAATTTGTAAAATTTCCGTTCTAAAACACTTGCAGATGTTAAATTAGGAATGGATTTCACACTATTTTCATTATATTTTTTAGAAATATATTTCATGATTCATAACATATCAAATATATCAAAGAATATATGTGAGGAATTCATTTGCAAATTTAACACCTGCAAGTGTTCTCATTAAACAAAAAAAAAAAAGGAAAACGGAAATTCCATAAATTAAATTAGTGAAGTACGATAAACGAGATTTAAAGTGATCAATGAACACGATTTAAATTCTTTAACCTTATCAAAAAGTTTTCTGATATTACTGTAACATCTAGAAGGAGCATAAGAATTGAATTATCAGTGGTGAGATATAGTGAATAAGGCAAAATTTGTATACGAGAATAATAATTTATAGATTTGAATTGGGAAAGATGAATGTGAAGTGCCATAATTTAAAACAGTGAAAAATGACAAAAACTAAAGAACAAAGATTGATAAAGGTAAAAAACGAAAAAGAAATGATAACAATTATACTATATACAATACTGTTATCATTTCAAATATTATGCTAGAAAGTTTGTAAAAACAATCGATCGTTCATTTCCTTCAGTGAATGATTGAAAATTAATTCTAAAAAAGATATCCTTTATATCAGTTTTCTTAAGAAATATTTTATATGTTCTAACTTTTTTTTCTGTTATATATTATTGAATAAATTAGTTATTAATTAATTTAGTTCTTTTTTTTTTTGAATTAATAGACCTGCTTGTTAATTGATTAAATTAAGTTTTCCTGAAGCAATAAAGTAACCATATTTAATTTCAGATTTTAATGAAGATCTGGATATAATAATGCAAAATATTTTGCTACAAAATTTTAGAAATAGAACTCAAAAAAGAAAGAGAAAAACGAAGATGAAAGAGAATAGCACTATAAAATATATATTGTAAAAAAAAGGGAAAACTTTTGGTACTAACAAATTGTGCTTTTGTTTTAAGAAATGCAGAAATAATTGGAAGCGGCATGAAAAAATTTTTTTTTAAATTTAGTTACACTTGGAACATTCAAGAAAAAAAAGTAACGTGAAGGTGAATTTCAGTTTGTGTATAAATGTGTGTGACAGTGTGTGACAATTCCATTTTATTTTTTCTTCAGAGGAAACACATATTTTAACGCTGTGCATAATAGGTGTGAAAGAAGAAATAGGAAATTTTAGTCTCAATTCGCTAAAAAAAATGGAAGTGGAAATAGAAATGAAAATGGAAATGCCACAGTTAATAAAAATAGGAAATCAAATTGTTACATCATATTTTAAAGATTTCTAATAATAATTTTCATTGGAGATCAAGAAGGTTTTTCACTATCCGGTTTGCAATATCGATTGAATTGACAAAATAATCACAAAAATGGAGAAGCAACACAACATGTATTTTGGAATATTCCGGTTTATCACATATCACGTTTTTCTTCTTTTTTCATAATTCTTAAGGGATATAAAACGTGTGATGAAAATATAAAAAAGAAACATACGAATAGACGTAGTACGTTGTCAATACCGCGAGGTTATTTTAATTTCATAAATCATTTAGAAATTTTTCTCTCCCATATTCGACACTGAATATAAATTAGAGAAATAAACTGAAACATTGCCACCACTTATGATGTTTCTAACATTAAAATGAATTATTACGTGTGCTACGCTTTCAAAACACGTATCGTACATAATATAACAATAAACCTGAATGATGTAAAATCAAAGAAATCGTACTTTTTTAATAATACTAATACTAAAATGTTTGATTTGATTTTTCAAAATGAAACGTTTTACAGGAAAGGAGAGAAAGAGAAAAGAAGAATGTAGTAGACTTTTGTTTTAACTTTTTTATATCATATCATATCATATCGTTTATCAGATTTAAGTAAAATAAGCGTTTTGTCATATGCCAAAATGTCATATTCATAATCACAAAGAACTTGGAAATTTATATGCAAAATGGTATACTTGTTTGTAAAAAAAATAAATAAAATCCTTTTTTCATGTTAATCCATTAATTTTAAAATGTTGGAAATAATAAATGATTATTGATCTATTCTAATAATATTTGATCTTTATTACATATTAGCATAAATGCACAGCAAAAATTACATATTGAAAATCATATGACATATTAGAAATATATGTATGATTTTAATAAGAGAAAAAAATGTAAGACTAACAAAATGGGTAAGTTAAATGAATATAATAAGCCAATTTCTAATTGGTTTGATTTGAAAAGTATCAAAAAGATTAAAGACAAAATGAAGCAAAGAGATCCCAAGAGAGAATGTATTATTTAATTGACAATGATGCAATGATCATTTAATTGAAATATAAACAAGCACACATGCAAAAGGATAAAGCAGAGAGTATAAGTGTTAAAAGAGATGAAATATTGAAATGTCAACTAAATGAACCATAAAGTTACAAGTAAATGCGGTGGAATAGAAAAAGGACATTGTTGAGATCAGTGTTTCACTGATACAAACTCTGCTTGCAAGTCGATAATTTCACCTCTCCACTCACCCACATCTGTCAACCCCCCCCCCCCCCTCTGCCCCCTCCCCCTCACCTCTCCTTTTGTCCACCACAACAGGACTGAAACTCCACCTCATCCATCGTCATTTTATATTACCCTGTCATTCTCCTCTCTCTCTCTCTCTGTCCCCTCTCTTTGTCTCTTTCTTTCTTTTCTTCTTTCTCGAAAAATCTCTGAACAAATATACAAATGAAATGAAAGAGAGAGCAAAACTTAAAATATGTAAATTAGCGATATGTTGTATTAAGATAACGAATATTTAGCATTTGAAAAAGAAAAGAAAATGTTTTCTTTTTCTCAAATTTTAATTTTAATCATCAAACATTTCAAAAATTGGCTCACAAAAAATTTTAATCCATTCATTCAATGAAAAAAAAATTTTTTTTTTTTCTTTTTCACAGCATACTAATTTTATAACAATTGAAATGATTCATTAATTGAATTTTTCTTCCGTATGCGATTTATTTGTGGACAGACGGATGACGAATTATAAGCAGTACAAAAGCAATACAAAATCATATTTTGTATTTCTTCTCCTTTTTCTTGATAATGAAAGATCAGAATATGAAAATTAGAGATATGGCGGGGTACAAAAAAAAAAAAAAAACAAATAATAATAATAGGAACTGAATGAAAGTAATATTTTCGTTAATATTTGAATTTTATAATTAAATACATCAAACATTTGACGCATTAATTGATTTTAATCCATTCAGAAAGCAAATAAATTTTTTTTTTTTATTTTCTCATTTGAAATCTTTGATCCATTCATTCATTAAAATTTATTACCATATGTCAGTAATACATCAAAATGATTCACCAGTTAAATTTACTTTCGCATACATTGGAATTATAATTTGTTTGGTGACAGATGACGAATTATTGGCAATACAAAATCATATTTTTATCTTTTATTTTTTTCATTTAGCTTGAAAAATTATTATACAAAATCAATTGGAAGTATTCATACTCACATCAATTCATTCTTTAACGAATTATGTTAAATAAATTTTTTCAATTAATATTATTTGTTTCGTTCTATTTTTTTTTTTCTCATAATTAATACTTTGATTTAATATACAATGAAATTTAATTAATCTTTATGTCATCTGTGATGTGAACATTACTTATAATTTTTTATTTAATTAATGATTGCATAGACGGAATAAACCATCTTAAATTTTATATAAAATTAATTGAAAAAGATTTAATTCTTTGCTTAATTAATCACTGGGTGACTAGAATAATTTCATTTTCGTTTACAATTCATAAAATGTGTCGCAACGGTGAAAGGTGAAAAGTTATGAAAATTTTATGAACAAATTTTGTAAACAAAATTAAATTGTTCAATTCTTTAGACAAATAATTGCTCAATTCTACATTTTATGCTTAAATTTTTGATTCAATTAATTTTTTTTCAATTTTTCGATTTATTTGAGATCGAAAATATTAGTGAACAATATTTTATACCTAATTAACTTTCTTTTACTTTACTTTCATTTAAATCTTTATCGTTTCTCTCTTATCTTCTCTCGTTTCATTCATTTCAATATATCCTTCTTCTTTTTATATTCAAATGTTTCTTTTTCACCGAAATGATGAAAAAAGACATTATCGTCCATGTGTAATTGTGACATTTGCGCCTCTCTTCTAATTTTAAATTCGTTTTCATATTTTAAATAACATACAAAAATTATTTTTTGTGACTGTTTTGAAAAAAGAAAACAAAAAAAATAGAACTAATTAGTAAATGTCTGATCATAGAAACTTTAAATTAATGCAAATGCATTGTATGTCTGTATGTCTCCATCTAGGTATGCATGTCTGTATGTGTATGTGTGTATGCCTGTATGTATGTATGTGTGTGTGTGCCTGTTTGTATGTTGTATGTGCGTAAACATTGGTGACGGACGAGACTAGCAGACATAAGCAGGAAGAGACGATTGAATGGATCCGTGCAACAACAGATAAATAGGCAAGGTTTCCTTACTTTTATAACTGGGAGAGATTAGGTAATGAGCATTGTTCTGCATGGCGCTTTTGTCTTGATGGATCAATATTGTTGTTATCATTGTTTTATGACTTATTGTTGTCATTACTATTTTTAGTGTTAATGATGATAATAATAGTAATAATAGAGATTATTCAAAAATATTCAGGAAAATTAAATTCATGACTTTATTCCATGTTAAAATGAGAGAAATTTTATCACTAATCATCGGTGTGCACTGGCATTAAACTTTTTATAGTATTATATTTGTTATCATCAAATTGATTACATTATCATTAAGTTGATTATGCTTTGTTATCATCAATTAGATTGAGTTTATTACATTTTTTAAAGCATAAGCATAAATAAATAGTTCAATTAAAGAAGTATCGACATCTTTTATCAAGATATGTTTAAATTTAATCGATTCGAGGTAGAATATTAGGAATGTGATTAGAATGAAGCAAATATATTTTAAGATTTCATATGGCATCAACATCAAGAACTATGGAGGAACGACAAAACTTGGCGGAAGGGATTGTGACATATTGTGACGATCGTTTAGCGCGGGTATGGATTGAAACTATAAAACGTGAGAAAGAAATAAATTTTGCTTATCGATCAAGACATTTTAATCTTGGTGATTGGTTATTGGTGTCACTAACAAGCGATGAAGTACATAGAATCAGTCCTATCCTAGAAACTCGAGTTCTGGAGATTGGTGTCACACAGGTAACTTTTACTTTTAATAGTACTCATAACTTCCGTTTTTAAGTACATTCATTCAAGGAATTCAGTCGTTCGTATTCATTTCAAATTGTCGTTATCATACTTTGTAATCAGATGCAAGATATGTCAGTTACATTTTTGTTGCTCGAGTTTCTAGGATTTTCGTTTATCACTAAGCTGAAGCTCTGCTTCATTTTTTAAATGATAACTTCATAATGTGTCCGTTTTAAATGGTATTGAATGTGGATAATTATCATTTAAAAAGTTTGGATAATCTAGATGTAAAATGTGATATTACTAAAGTGTGAACATTTGTACGATATCATTTTTAGTATTATATTCTTGAGACCTTTACTTTTATTAAAATGATTGTTTGATCAGCAATTATAAATATTATTTTTGTGGTTTATTGTTCAAGTATTTTTATTTTCTTCGGAATTTGATAATAGAGACTTCGAAGGGCCTTTTTCATTTAGGTCAGAACTGAAGTGATATTCAGGCAGAGTAATGAGAAAATTGGTCACGGTATCATTATCCAATCGAAGCATTTTGACCGTGTGGCTGTGTTTGCACCATTCAGTGGCATTATTATTAATCGAATCTATAGCGTTTATGTAGAAAGGTCTTTTCCATTCTTTGTATTTTTGCTTCTCACTTATTTCCCTATGAAGAGCATTGCTAAAACTAAATTTCTAAATTGTTTTTATTCGTTACTTCAATGCATTCTTATTCAGAAATTTTTCCATAATCCTTTCGTTTATGCAATTTGCAAGATCATAAAACGGAATAATTACTAATAGATGTTTTACTATTCTTGCATTTACAAAACTGATTGAGATGAAACGGAATTGTTAGGAAAGGAAATATATTTTCGAATATTTATTCGTTTCATTTTAGGATTCCTCGGGATCGACAATGGAATGAACAGGAAAGTGGTACATACTGGTTTGTTCCATCCAATCAAATTCCTGAACTTGTCCCAATCAGTAAATATTCGGCAAATGATAGGGAGGTAACAATATTTTGTGTGTTTGAAAAGTCTGGAAATTGTTTATTATATATAGGAATTTTGAGCGATCTCTATAGCTGATCTTTTTTTTTTTAAATCGGTTATTCCTGAGAACGTCAGACTTCTCCAGAAGCAACTCTTATTTGCCTCATTCGCATTTATGTCTCTCATTGAGGAATGGTTTTGAGAAATAAATTTATATCTTAGTATATCATATCTTCTTATCCTTTCCCTTCATTATTTTATAAAATATTTATCTCATGTTTGCTTAGATTCTCACCAAGGTTCCAAAAACAGGTCTGTAATTCTTTGGCTTATCTAAGCGACAACATATTCATAACCTATTTTATGCAAATTTTTGGAAAGGTATTTAAGATTAGTAATGCGAAAGCAAAATCTTGAATTTCTGTCACTCAATAAAATAACGAATAATTTTTTGCAGCTGATAGGTCCTCTAGTAGGTGTAGTGGTTAGTAAAGCTATAAGATTTGCATTTGTTTGGTCACCTTCCCTTGGAGAGGGAATGTGTGAAAATCATGAAAATTTGGTGATTGGAGGATGGATTAAATTCATGGCCGAGTAAGTTCATTATTTTGTTTTTCACCTCTCATCTCTTAAAAGTAGGATTACCTGTATTAGAGTCTTTTAATCTTCTCCTGTTTGCTTTTGAAACTTCCAGTATTTCTGGTCTTACTTTGATACCGTCTGATTTCTTTCAAAAGGTTCTACAGGAATAACTTTAATTGGTTTATTAGTTTGCACATTTTTTTTAGTCCTTTTATGGCACAGTTTATTCTAGTCCGCATCTTAAAAATCATGCCCGTATGAATATGAATATCAGATTTTATATTATCGAGTGGACGATGACAGATCCTATCTTAAAATGTGTACCGCTCTTCAATAATCTAATGGTTCGCCTAAACAAAATCATTTTGTTAAAAACTTCTTCAAATGTTTTGAAGCATTCCTTTAATTATAATTTGCGTGATAGTAGGATTGGATTTTTTCTTCTGTGATTAAATTTTTTTTTTGTCAAATTTTTTTCTGGTATTTTTAAACTTTTTAATGTTGTTATAATATTATTTTTTTTTTTCTTTATAGCTTGTATCAGCCACATTCGTCTCTCATTGGCCATTAAATAATTTAACTGCGGATTGGATAGGACCAGTTGTAGATCGAGATAATATATTAGAAAAAGCAGTACAAAATTTTGGAGTTGGACAAACATATGAAGTAATGTTAAAGCGTATAAAAAAAAGTGTGGAAGAACCGATTACTACATGGAATGTGTGTCAGGTCTTGGTATGTTTTTTTTTTTTTTTTTTTTCATGAACAGTTTACTAACTTTGATTTTGGTGACCTGCTGATCATTTATATTTTGGAAATTGTAGAATCTACAAATAGTATCAATTTTTGTTTTAATTTGCATACAGGATTGTATAAATAGAAGTCAGAGACATGGTATCGTTTGCTTCGTTGATATTCAGAAATCATTATCATTAGTCTATATCCAAGATACAAATCATGGAAATGGTCGAATGTTACACGTTAATTTGAAAATGTTAGTTTTTTTACTTATGTAAGCATCAACAGCACATTATTGTATTGCTAAACTTACAATAATATTATCTGCATAAATAATATTGGAATGCTGAAATTTCATATTGTTAGTTTTATGTGAGAATTGCAGGTTCGAAGCAGTTCCGGCACTTGGCGATTGGTTCAGTTTTGAAATAAGTGAAAGTAGTCAATTTTGGACGGTATTAAGTGCCGTGAAATCTCAGAAATTATGCACCTCTTATATATCTAACGGTCAATTAGAAGTACGATGTTCTTTCTTATTTATCTGTCCTATGATGGAACTATTTGTTCAAAATTCTGAAGCAGTCTTTTTGTTAATGACTTAACATTTAGATTCTCCTCCTTCCACTACTCATACTTAGCATTTTAGTGAACGAAAAAAATATGTATTGAACACTGAGATATTTCTGATATAATATAACATGAAGAAAGAGTAGGAGTGATGTGTCTTTAAATTTTAGTTAGGAAATTTCTTCTCTAAATTTAAAATTTTAAGGTTGAGACGGAAGTTATCCTAACTGATCAAATCTCAACGAAAGGCCATCGGATAATGTTTTCCGTTGTTCTTGGAGCAGTGGTAGATGATATGGACAAACTGTTGAATATTCCCTTGGATGCCTCAATAAAATATACTGTCTGGTGTAAAACAGTGCAAACAACCGCTTCAATTGATCCATATTGGAGGATAACTAACTTTCTCACTTTGCGGGTTAATATTATTTTGTAACAAAGAATTTCTTTCTGCTAGAAATTCATGTTAGTATTAATTACTATCAATTAGTATATTAGTATTTTTTTCATTTTTTGCACCGAAATAGATTTATGATACAGTAACCAAAGTTTCATCCACTTTTAGGTTCATTAGGTTAGCTCTAGTGCCTTTGACTTCTTTACTATACGGAAAAATAGTATTTTCCAAGAGAGAATATTTCTTCCTGCTTCGATATTTCGTTTTGAATTATACTTTATAAATTTAAATACTGCTGATCGAATTATACAGTTTATCCTTTGTTGAAGATGAAGAACAGAGCAGTTGTGCCAAAACCAAATCTAAACACAAATGCAAAAAATGCTGACGATATTTCGTATGTTGGTATTGTTACTGGTAAATGCCAATCAGGTTATTTCATATGGACGCCTTCATTGACTGAAATTATATGCTATTGTAAAAGTGGTTTACACATTGGTGACTGGATTCAATTTTGGATTAGGTAAATTTCCAATTTTAAACCTTTTCGAGACATATTTTATAATTGAAATTTTCTTGGATACTAGCACTAGACAGTTGATTTTTTAAAATTTTACTCTAAGTGCAAAAATAACAAAGCTTATTATTAATATGGCTATACATTATTATTAATATGGTTATACATTTTTGTCGTTTTCTTTCAATTCATACTTTAGATTTTATGTTTTATTTCAGGAAGAAACAACGATCACATTCAAAAAGGAAACCTTTTTACATAAACAATTGGTATAAATTGGATAGTTGTTATCCTGCACGTGAAGAAAATAACACTGCCGTGGTAAACAGTCGATTAAATTTATTTCAAAAAAGTATAACAAAGAAAAGAAAATAGACTTGTGTTTTACGCCTGCATTTTTTAATCTAATCATCTTGTTAAAGAAATGGTAAATTGGTAAAAGAAAACCTTCTTTCTTTTTTTTTTTTCGAAAATGTAATAGTAAGAATTTTACTGTAATTATTTTCGAAATAATCTTATTTATTTTCAGGTTACAGTAGAATTAAGGATATCAGAAAATTACAATAGTCGACAGCCTCCGTCATTACCATTTTTTGGTAAAGTCCTCGATAAAAAACATTGGTTTAGAGCACATATCGATGACATACGTGGTCATATAATCGAGATTGATATAAAACACATTAGAACTGGAAAATTGACTTCGAGTTGGGACATTACCTTTGTTTTAGTAAAAGTATGCATGTTCAAAATTTCATTTTTCTTTAATTTGAAGTGTCTACGACAGAGAATAGTTAAAATTATGATTTAAGATAATTGTAATTGCTCCAAATAACTTAGCACATAGTCATTAGCATTTTTTTTAGACATAAGTATGCAGTTTTAATTTTTAGAGACCTTGCCATGGACAAAAAAAATCATTTGATAGAAGAGCTGTAAAAATGAATGCTAATCCTGCGGAAATCGATGCTGTCGTTATACCTTCGGTCTATTGGTTTCCTTTCCTTCTTTATCTTCACCTCATTTTAGATGGATAGTAAGATTAAAATCAGAAACAGTTGAAGTTTGGGCTAAATAGACAATTAATTTAAAGGAATGAAGTATTAAATGATTTGTAATTCCATTGATGCATCTGTCCTCTAAAAAGCATCATCACCAATCTCCTTTGAGAAAATTCTCATAATCCAGTACAAACTTACCAATATTGGTTCTATACTTACGAGTAACTCATCAAGTAACTTGGTATCAAGTCCTGCTTTTTATTAAAAAAATTTTCATTTCACACATATTTCAGATTCCTTCAACTTCAGCTAGTACTGAATCCGCTCAAAATGTAGATAATGGTGATCTCTCCATTCCTGTAGATAATTTATTTATTGATGAGCGAAGGAATTATGGAAATCATTCTCCGACGTTTTATAATGGAGAAAAAAAAGCGCACGATGAGGACTGCTATGATGGAAGTGACCCTCAAAAGGTATTTATTTTTATATTTTGTCACTTAAGATGTCAATCAGTGGTTATTTTACTACTATAAGATGTGGAGGTATCTATCAAGTTCAAATTTCATTTCAAAGCTATTAACCGTTTGAAGGAAACTGGTATTCATGCTTAGTCAGTCATCAAACAACATTACTTTTTCGCCTTTATAAAGTCATAACCGTTTTGAGCAAATACTTATAATTACATGGAAGTAATTAATAGCTCATGCCTTAAATTCGTTCTTTGAAAAATTAAAGTATAAAATAATTATTCGTTTCTGCTACAGCTCATTTATCTCCTTTTCATCAATTGATTACAATTCCTAGATTCTTATGAGTCCTTAAAAACTAAAGTTGGTTATGCTTTTTTATAAAAGTACTTTAAACTGACAAATTGTTCTTAATCTCTGTGGATTTTTTCAGGACGATACTGAGCTTGACTCGGTTATTTGTTCTATGAAACTTTTGTTCATGTCAAAAGAAGTACGGGAAGCAATAAAAACGAACTGCTCGGAAGAATACACAGTACTTCGCCAATACTTCGATTTTGTGCCTTAAATTACTGTGCCACTGGGCCTTATATCGTAGCTTCATTTGTAAATTCTATAAATGTCTCAACTTACTTGAATTTGACCTGTAAATAAACTTGCCTCAACAATGTCCACTCTGAAAGATGACAGATGTCATCAGCTTCATTTCAGTTATATCATTTCCAGTGGATGATGTCCCAGTGCACCTTAGCCTTCAAATTCCTCGTCTCTGCCTAGACCAAGTAACGAATCTGTAACCTCCAAATATACTTGACGTATTCCTCAAGATGAATTGACTCAACCCGGTGCCTTAGACCCAATTTGCTCCGAGAATAACAAGCACAGCGCTATTGCCAACATTTTCACTCATCTTTATTAAATTGGAAAAGCTCACTTGTTAGCCTACCGAATTAGAATTTCAGGAAAATCGTGAAGAGCATTGAGTTAACCTAAATAGATTTACACATAATCTCAGCAACCAGTTGATTACCCAAATTTTCAGTTCAGTCTTTTTTTCCCATTCAATTCGTAAAGATAGCACGTGGTGAAGAAATCTATCCATCCTTTTTTTCGATGTAATGCCGTATGGAATCTGAGTACATGACTCCATCAACAAAGTGAATATTTTAAAAAGTCGCAGCAGTTGTTTCTCATAGCTTGAGTCGAGAAATGTAGAGAAATCGGTATATTTACGAACAAACTGCTATCAACGCGACAATTTCATCACATCAAAATCCATTGAACAGCTTAATTCTTTCGTCACATCCTTATAAAAAGTTTGAATAAAAAAGGACAAAGAAGCATATAATTAAGTGCTAATACTAATGAAAAGTAAATCAATGATAAATTGTATGGAACAGTAAGAAAAGGGAATTGCAGTATTAAACGGAGAAAAAAAACAAGTGCAAAAGATTAAAAAGTTAAGGATGATATAAAATAATAGAATTTATCTCACTACTCAAACAAGACTCTGCGTCTATGTTCGGGAAGTTGCAGTACACAAAAAAACATCGAGAGAGAGAGAAAGTTAAAAGCATCAAACACTTTTCATGGTTAATCCACTTAGATATCATCAATATCAACTTCACCATCTTCCTCAGTCTTAATCTTCTCAATTTGAGCAGTGCCATTTATCTTCTTAGCTGCATCCATTTCAACTGTCCCCACCTTTCGGGCGCGATCATCAAACTGAAAACAAGGAAATTTGGAATACAAATGTAAACTACAGGAAACTCATGTCAAATTTTATATTATTCCCAATTTTCAAATTAAACGATTTACAATTGTCCAGAAGCTACAATATTCATCTAAATGCCAACTGATATTTTCTTCCTTAATCCCATGTTTCTTCGATTAACGATCAATTAATATCAAATTATTCATATATGTCAAAATATGCTCCGACATGCAAAGCATCGAGGGAGCACACAAAAGAAGTAGTAGCCCATAACCAAAAACACGAAAACCGGTCATGAGCAAACGCAGTGAAGGAGGCACACAACTCATTAAATGGCATAAACTGAAACCACAAAAATAACTAAAAGGCACCGTCTAAGATCTGAAGCAATAAATTAAAGATTTTTCCAAACGAAAGTATAAAAACGTTAATTCATACTTCAATAGCTCCATCTTCGTCATTTTCATCGTCGCTTTCATCTTCTTCTGCATTCTTTAACCAATCCAAAACAGGTTGCGCCTTAGCAATTATTTCTACGCACAATTTCTTCTTAACATACTTCTTGCTCGGCTGAAAAGGATAACTCCGTACAACCTTATTTTCATTACCTTGCATTAAAGAACCGAGATTTTAGAATTTTATAAACAGGGCTCCGTTTGCATACCTTTTCTCCCCAAGCCAAAAGAACCTCCTCTTCCACCACATCGTTGTCATAAAGCGCTTTAATAATATGGGCTGATTTTGGAAACAAGGTATCGAGATGTTTGGAAATGAGCTGTTCTATACCACCAAGAAGATGACGCTGTGCCTGAAATTGAACAACGACTTAGCATAACAAACCAGGGCAAACCGGTTTAGGAATTTAAAATCAAAATTAAAACAACAAAAAATCTTTCAAAGACTAGCAAACGTGGAATTTAATATTCCAAGATGTTATGTCCATACCTTGTGATCATTAACAGTGAAACGCAGAAGGATGTTCCGATATTCCATAATTTGACTGATGACGTTTGTATCAAATAAAACATCAGCCAATAAGAGAGTAGCCTTTGATTTTAGCTCCAATCTTTCTGCTTCATTTAGTAATTTCTTACTATTCTGCAATCTTTCATTATAAATTTTTATCTACAGTACAAAATTATTTCGAAAGTTAAACAGAATGAATTAATGGAAGAACCAACTTTACTATAAGACCTCAGAAAGAGTATTCGTACTATGCAGTCTTAGTAAGTCTTCGAAAAAAGTTGTTATTGAATCTTTACAAATAAAATTACGATATCCGCTTACCTGAAACGTGCCATCGGCTTTAGCTTTCAGAAAATATTGATGTAGCATATCAAGCCGCTCTTCAATTGGTTTGTCAAGATCTCTGCTAATTATCAGTTTGCCAATTTGTGCAGAAACTCCCCCAGCCGGATCGTCTATTGGCTCTGCCCAATCGTCATCAACATCATCCGATGCACTTCCATTCTATAAGCATTCCTTTGAAAAAGTAAAAGTAATGAAAGCAACAACTGAAATTTTTAAAGTTGCACAGTAAATTTACTTACCACATCTTTATCACTTGGCATTTCTCCATCCACTACAGAATTATCTGTGGAACCGTTGTTACCACCTTCTTTCTTTTCCTTCTCGTCCACTTTCGGTGGATTCTTCATGATAAACGTCGACAGCTTATGTTTAGGATCGATGATTGAAGTATTTCCACAAGCTTTGCATTTACTGTGGATTTGGCCTTTCTTAACAACCTGAAAAACAAGTTTCTAAGCTGTAGCTGAAATTAAGTTTTCTAAAAAAAAATCAAGAAAGATAAAACACGGTAGAGCAACAGCAAATAATTTACCAAAGTAGTTTCAGGGTTTTCACATGCTGCACACAGAACAAACTTTCTGATGAATCCATCCAGAATATCCTGCAGTTTAGCCGCGTCATGTTCACCGTTCACAATAAAACGCTCATTTTTCATGTCAAAATTGGTCTGCGCGCCTAATTCACACCCAAAATACTTGGTTGGATCTATAAGAAATCGATAGTACGACATATGTAATGATTTAGATATATTCCTTCATCTATAGTTCTAGTTCATCTATAGTTAAAATTCCTGCAACACTTGTTTTAAAATGAATGGTAAACAAATACATCTTAACATACTGCGACTTACTATCTGAGAATCATTTTCAGTTACTCCAATAATAAACAAAACATTGGAGTAAGAAGTGAACCCAAATATCAAGTTATACCAGTGACATGATAATATATAAAAATTTCACGAAATAAAATACTCACAAGTTGGTGGGCGTTCAAGAGCTTTGGCAATTTCGGTCATGTTTGCAATGACTGTTTTGATTCCGTTGCCCTTGCCTTCGACCTGCAAAATATCGAAATAATTCACAAAATAGCGTGTATGTCATATCTCCTATTTTACTTCTAATATGAAATAACCTTCGCTTGTAGACGGGGCATTTTGTAACGATAAAAGGGATCGAGCACATTGCGATTGATATTGATCGCCATTTCTGTTCAAATTTATGATGAATAAACTCCGCAGAAAACCTGCAAAAAGATTATTTCAATTTGGAGTGTTCTAAAAAATCCAAATTCATTCCCTAATGTTATACTTCTATATCAAAAGTTTTACAAAAAGTTACAAAAGTTACTAAATTCATTTGCAAACCAAAGAAAAAATTGAAAAACCAAGCGGCAAATGAAATTATTTTAAAGTTTCTACGTTATTTTCCAATTCATGAACAGATTTCACTGTAACAGTTACCACTTCTGAAACCTGCAAGGCAATTTCAGTTGAGCATCCACAATCAACAACAATGAACGACACCGCATCAATTTCAGTAAGTGAAATTTGAAGGTGAAGGTAGAATTGGTGCTCTCGCGTAATTTTGCAACTATGAGCAACACGAAAATAAAACCGCCCTCAATTACACCAGACAATCAAGTGAATTTACTTCCTACGTTATCTTAATGTTTAATAATTTGTAGAAAATAGTAAGTTTATGCAGATTTCGAGTTACACAGTTTATGCAAATTTCAAACTACCTAAAGTCTATATTGTTATCTTCCTACCTTAATGATTTTTAATGCAGAGAAAGCACTTTGTAGGAGTGATGAATCGATCCGCATCAGAGTCAAAATATTGAATAGAATATTTGAACAATTTCAGCACTTAAGTAGTCAAGACATGTGATCAAGATACATACAAAACTAGTGCACTTAGGATAAACGATCCCTTTCCAAAAGTTTTTACGGGGCAAATCGTAATCCTGCTATAATTTGCACCTTTGGAGTGCAAAATTAAATTCGTCAAGAATTTTCCATCTATATCATATGCATTTCTTTTACGTGTATCATAAATCTGTGTACCAGACAATCGCCTTACATACCAGTATTGGAGTTAACGTTAGGAGGAAATCTTAACGTGGAAGCGACTAGGCCACTGCTTGTGCACTGCGTATCCTCCAAATGGCATACGTGATTAAGGGCAAACAAGCAATGCGATTCTTCGCCACACGACTCTTCAAAAGTCTCCTTCAGTTTCTTTCGTTTTCGTGACAACCTCCCTAAAAACAAAGCAAGCTCATTTCAATCACATCCATATACTGGATAATAAATACTCTAAATCACCAAAATAAACCAAACTTTTAAGAAAAAAGAAAATAAAACTATCAAGAATAAACAATTAACAGAATACTTCTGATGTTCTTTTTTATCCCTTGTATATTTTTCATTGAAAACAAAGGGTAAATTTGGGAAAAATTTTGAAAAAAAAAAATCACTCAAAAAGACTAAAAAAAATGACAAACATTTACCTTCCTGAGGGTTGTCAACCATAAAATCAC